AGGGTTTTGAGCATAGTGTTAATTGATTGTATTGGTGTAGTAATCCATTTCTGACTGTTTTAGGCCACTCTACATTTCATATGTCATGGTGATATCAAAATGAATCTAAAAGATGTTACTTAATATGTATTATTATCAAAATAGATTTTTCTTAAGTATCATGATAAAGAGTCAAACTAGGGATCTGATTTCATCCTGGTCAGTATCCATGAAACACAGACTTTAACTGTTCATTGTTTCTTCTTGTTAAAAAACATTCAGAAAACAGTCAAGTATCTTCAGTTTCATAAAGTTGACATGGTCCAAATGTATTTTAGATTTCTTTTAATGAAAGTGACGAACATGTACAGTAATGATAAATATGATATGACAGGGTAATATATAGAGTTGAAGATCAACAACGAAAGCGGAAAAGACAAAAGATGATGAGAAGATTTTCTGCTTTGCACACATTTTGCAATTCAAAATGACAGTTTTTAAATGCACTGAACACGGTTCTCTGCATAAGACACAACAATCTGACATAAAGTCTCATGTTTGCCATTTCAAAACACTGCCATTCAAAATGACACTACATGAGCTAATTGGCCAAACACCTCAATGGTTAACTGTTATCACTTCAACCAGGAAGAAAGCACTATGAAAAGACCACAGGTGAGCACCTTTTTTTACAACAACAATGGAAGAGGTTGCAGAGAGAGGAAGAGGAAGAGGAAGAGAATGAGAGGGGGGAGGAAGAGTAAGAGGTAGGGGAAGAGCTGGTAGAGGAGTTCATGGCCAAAGAAGACAACAACTTTCAAATGAAATCAGAGCAACCTTAGTTGATTGTTGAACTATGGGCTGACAATGCGAGAGGCTGGACAGAGATCAGCCCAACTTGAGCCGTTTTACTGTACTGGTATATGTTGAACTGACTTGTTTGGTGAAAAAAAAAAAAAAAAATGTTTCAACAGCATGTGTGTGTATCTGCAAATATTTCTGTGCATGTGAACAATTTGAATTTTCTACAATTTGAACTATTTTAGTATTATGGCAAAGCATACTAAAGATGAGAGTGCTTTTCATTATGCCCAACAGTGTGTAGTTGGTTAGACAAAAATCTGGTAATATGAATGAAGTGTGTGCCATTTGGTGCAAAAGTTTGATTTTGATAATGCTATATGTAGTTTTGGTTGCAGTGCTTCATTTTGCAGGATATATATGAGGTATTTTGCAGTTTGGAGTGTGTGGTTTTGTGAAATGTGTTAAGTATTTTGACTAAATCAGCCGAGTTTGCCAAAATTGTGTTTTAGCAATTGGAAAAAACTGTAACAGTAATACATCTGGTTCCCAAACTGCATTCTGGCCTGCTAGTGTGAGGTTCACTAGCCTCCAGCTACCATCCAAGCCAGCTAGCTTTTCGCTTGCAATCTACCAGACTGAGACCTGGCCTGCTAACACCGATAGCCTGTACTCCAGCCAGCTAGTGGCTAAACTCCAGACTCCATGCTGATCTGCAGACTTCCACATCTGCAACTCAAAGTTTCTGCCACACTGCGCTCTAGAAACATGCCTAGCACCACGAGACGCCCTGAGTGTCTTTGACCTGCCAACAGCCAAGAGACAGCAGGTCATTGACATACAAGAAACCATGTCCAGAATGACATCATGTCTAAAATATGAGCTGCGTGTTGGGCCGGTCTAATCTGTTAACCAATCCCATCTAACCCATCAATAGAAAATGTCTCAGGAAACAACTACACCTCGCTCACACAAGAAAGACAGGTCTGCATGTTGCTGTTCATTGACTGCAACTAACAGTTAAACATCATAGTTCCTTCCTGGCTCATCACAAAGCTCAGGACTGAGATTTAAGATACCACTCTGCATGTAGGCTAGCTCTACATTCAACCATGGAGACGCTGGACATACAGGTACAGTATCGTGCTTGAGTACAACAAGGTACAGATGGCCAGTGTGACCGCGCCCTGAGTCTCTAACTAGACTCTTCTCCTCTGTCGCCCCCTGGTGGTGGAAAGAACTTCCAAAGTCCATTCGATCTGCAGTATCCCTTTAAGAAAAAGCTAAAGACCCTGCTCTTTAATAAACACCTAAGCACTTATTTAAATTGATGATTACTCTGATGATGATGGATTTGTTTGATAATGATAATGATAATGGTTAGGATGGTTTTGATGATTTTGATGCTGATTAGAACTCTTAAAAACAGCTGCCTGTCAGCACCTGTCTTAGATCGGACTTAAAGCTCTTTGTTTGCACTTACTGATGTTGTTTCCTCCTCTCTTCTTGCTTGTGTTACTTACTCACTGATGTACATTGTCTGAGAGGAGCCGAGAATATTGAAAATTTTAAACGCAGTCTTAAAACTTATTTATTCAGTCTGGCTTTTATATAGTGCTTTATATAAATTAAAATCTTAACATTCTTGTATTGTCTTTTTTATCCTACTACAATTTTAAATATTCTTCTCCTATGTATTAATTTTAATATCTTATTGCTTTTATGTGTCGTATTTTATTTTTTCATTTTTATACATATTTTTTCATTCTTATTGGTGTGAATTAGTCTCTCAATGATTTTATCACTGATTTTATAAACTACTTTTTCGTCAATAACTTTTCTGCACTCTTGTAAAGCACTTTGAACTGCAATTTAATTTTTCTGAAAGGTGCTGTATAAATAAAGTTTGATTGATTGATTGATTTAGATTAAAGTGTCTGCTAAATTAATTTGTATGACTTGTAGAGGACATATGCCTTGACATGACAGCATTAGGTTCATATTTGTGGTTTTGAGTGAAGGGTCTTAACAACTCATTTGAAACAGTTTTAACTCTCTCAAAGGATGAATTGTGATGATAGTAGAAATCCACAGACTCGTCCTCTAGTGCTGACTAGTGCTAACATTAATGGAAAATGTATTTTTGTGTCGTGTCATTCAATATTTAGCCTTGAATCCTGATCACACATGCAGTTAAATTGCTATAAAATTATCATATATTGTGAACCCCAACAGTACATCATATTAACTGTTGCATAATGTACAATCTATCACTGCAAGAGAGTTTACCATCATAAAGTTTGTTCTTGGTGACGTGTTTGTTTGAAGTCCAAGACACTCACATCATAAACACAAATTAGATACAAGAGGAAGCTCATTATGTCTCATGTCTGTAACTGTCTCTAGTGTGTGATTAAATTGCACACGTATGGAGACCTCTCTGCGTCCCTTAATGAAGTCTCTCTTCAAAACAGTCTTATGCAATGTTTTTCATTCTTTTCTGGGCAAAAAGTTTCCTCTAACTCTTTGTGATAACATCATCTCTGTTATAAGATGTTTGTAAGAAGTGAAGTTCAATACCTTTGATGCAACTTTTTTAAGGACTGGATATTTGATGTCCGGAGTACGTTTTTGTTAAAACACTACAGAAAAGACCATTGAACACAGCTCTACACTTCAATAAATGAAAAGACAAGGGACAGAGTTTATATTTTGCACTAAGCGTGGTAAATGGTTAATCCTTGGGAAAAAATAACATGAATGATCTTCAAAGAAAATATAATGTAATTAATTACATTATATTATACAATTGTGAAACAAAAATGAATGCATATATATGTCTCGCCTCAAAAAAAGAAAAATTCTAGTTCTTAATAATTGATGTAGTCATTTTTAGCATTACACTACACATATTAAAACACTAATACAAATAATTAATGCAATGTCAAATTAAAGACACCATGTTGGCATTTTCCAACACAGAACAAAATTTGTGAATAAGAAGAATCATGTTTTATATTTCTATGTGCCTTTTACATTGAGGGTGATGTAAGCTGCAGCCTTCGGTATTGAAAAATGAATAATGTTATAGTGCAAAAACATGCAGTTCCTCAAGTGTCCACTTGAGGCTGGCTGGAAGGCCCAGACACACCAATCTAAAATGCCCATTTTGACAACTGAAATGTACACGTTTACAGCCTGGTTCAAATAACAAATGTGGTCTGAAAGCTTATTTATCAGCACACACTGTAGGGGGGTGTTTTTTTCATTAATTCTGATTTTATAAAGGATAAGTTATTCATAATAAAGAAGGGTGTGGATAACTGTTTGTCTGGAGGCTTAAGGCCTACCTCAGCTCCAGCTCTTTGCCTGTTACTAGGTTGGCTGAAAGTTAGTTGATATAGTGACCGACGCCATCTATGGGCTTCTCACACCAAAGGGATGTCCATGCTTTAAACAGCCTATGATGTTATGCTCCAAAGCTATTCTCTGAGCTAAAATTAATATGTGCTCAGAGACCTCCATTAAACACTGGGGATATTGACACTCCTTCCCCAGTTTTAATTGAGACACACACTGGGGTTTTGTGTTAGTGCAGTTAATGCCTTTGGGATTTACTATTAGCATTATTCAATTAATGGCTCTTCCATTTAGTCATCATGAGATTAGAGTTATTTGCAATGCGTAGCATAACAGCACAACCTCACTGACTTATTAACAATTAATAAATTCTTGTTAAAAAAAGAAGGCTATAAACTCCTACCTACACAAACAACAACAAAAAATGTCAATTAAAGGTACAAAACGTGCAAACATGCATGCATATGTACATGCAAATTGTCATTTGTGTGTCTTGGGGAGATTAGTGACTGATAATAAGTAACCAGAGAATACAAAAAGTTGTAACCATAACAACTGTTTGTTAGGACATCTTTTTAAAAGGCGTGTCAGCAGATGAGGCTGCCATACTGTTTAAGGACGGTCAGAGTAAAACTCCTGGAAAGAGATTAATCTAGTCAGAACCTTATTAGGAGTTAACCACATTTATTTTTTAATCGATGATCGTAGTAGGTGTTATAAAAATAGTTGACAGACCAGAGACACCAAATAACTAATGACATACAGTAAATCTTGCTCTGTAAGTATCACAATAGTTTTAATGTTTGAGATGTTGTCAAAGTGATTTATCTGCTGTGTTTTTTCGGGCTTTTCTACTAACAATGTCAGAGGGAAATCAGAGCATTGTGACCGAATTCATCCTCACTGGATTCCCTGGACTTCACCCAGAGTACGAAGGCATCGTCTCAGCTGTATTGTTCTTTGTTTATTTGCTAACTTTGACAGGCAATGCTACAATTATTTGTTTATTTGCAACAGATCGCAGCCTTCATAAGCCGGTGTATTACATCATTCTTAATCTGACTGTGAGTGATATTCTCATGAGCACAACTGTTTTACCTAAGATCACGAGTAAATACTGGTTTAATTCAGGGACTATTTCATTCACTGCTTGCTTTGTTCAAATGTACTTTGTTCACTATCTTGGCACAGTGAATTCATATATTTTCTTCCTGATGGCCTTTGATAGATACTTGGCTATCTGTCATCCTCTCAGATATTCAACTCTTCTTAAACACTCCACCATCTTCATTCTCAGTATGAGTGCATGGGTTATTGCCAAGGCAGGCGCTTTAATGTTAGTTATTCGAGCTTACCCTCTGCCTTACTGTGCCTCAAACATAATCAATCACTGCTTCTGTGATCACATCGGTATAACAACACTTGCATGCACTGACCGAGGCCCCTATGGTCTTCCTGCTTTTGGGCTAGCGATGGTTGCACTTCTTGGACCTCTGGCGTTTATCATTTTCTCATATTGCTCTATAATTATAAATGTTCTTAAGATAGCAAACGTACAAGGCCGTCTAAAATCTATGTCCACTTGTAGCACTCAACTGATTGTGATATCACTCTATTACCTACCCAGATGTTTTGTATATTTAGCCAGCAATGTCGGCATTAAATTCAGTGCTGATGTGCGAATAGTTATTATCATGCTGTATAGCCTTTGCCCTCCCATGATTAATCCACTAATATACTGCTTAAGGGCTAAAGACATGAGAGAAAGCTTGTGTAAGCGACTCTACAAAAAGACTGTTCCACAAAAAGCACAAATCTCAGCGGTGAGTCACTCGTAAACCAATAGTTCAGTGTTTATCTTTGTAACTGCATTCTGTCTTTTTATGGATGAGCTGGTTTTGTTAAAAATGTATTGATAATTTAAGAGTTGGAAGTTAAAGACTTTAAACTTTTAAACATGTCATTTTAAAAATATGTATATTTTAAGAGGGAGGCTAACCGCTTTGTCTATCTGGTATAAATGTATTGATTAAAGCAACACAACACGGTTATAAAAAATAATATGCATGTACTGTATATTAAAATCACAAGATGCCGAGTGATGTTCGTTGGGGAAACAAAAGAAAACAGTTTGAACGTGTTTGAAAACTGGTTTGTGACCTAATTGTGAGCTCTTTTAGACCCCAGTAGTTACTGTATAGACATGTCAAGTTATGGTACAGAATGGAGAGTGTCAGGTGTCAGAGTAAAGGGAACTTAAAGTGGGGTGTCTTTGTCTTTGTTTCAGACCTTGTGTTGTATTCTGTAACCAAATTAAATATTTTTTGTCAAAAATCTGCATCATTCTTTTGTATCAGCTCAGACCAAAACTGTTAATGAAGAATCTAATGAGCATGGTAAATCAAGACTGATATTTGATCTTAGAACTGGTATGTCCCGCAAAATGTATAGAAGAACAATGTATATGACTTTTAAAACTTACGCAGAAAAGCCAAAGATGCAAAGCTGTCTCTGCTGCCCAAAGACAAACCCTTCTCAAATGATTAACCTTGAGAGGTTTGTTGGACTGCCTGAAAGTTCAATGCTTCTTTTACTGCCCCCTCTGAAAAGTCTGCACTACACATTCATTTGGGGCAGCAGTAGACCGGGTTGGGAACCGAAGGGTTGCTGGTTCAAGTCCATGGAGAGGAGAGAGACCAGGTCCCTTTCCAAGTACTGTCCAGATGAACTTAAGCAAGGCACCGAACCTCCAACAGCTCTGTCGCGCTCACTGGAAAGCCTCACTCAGGCATCTTTCCATCGATGCATGTCCATAGGCCCTGCATGTACGTCAAGTCATGTTCTCTAGGTTGTCATTTCAACCATATACAAAGTACACAGTGGGATTACATTTTGTACCTCTAGAACTGTGATGCTACAACATGTCTCTCTAATGTGTATTTATAGTCTGAGTCCTGTGAGATCTCTATTACACTTAAAGAATTAAAACATGTTTCTTGGTGTTTTGTCAGAGTGCAGTTGTTTACTCCTGTGGGATTTATAACACTTTAACATTATCAAGTATGGTCTTCCAATACCATATTAAACAAGTGGTTGTAAGACTGTGCAAGTTTGGTGAGTTTTAAGCATGATGTGCCTTACACGTCTTGGAAAAAGGTCTTTGGATGATGTCATGTATTTGTTTGACAATTGTCAAACCTGATCTGATTTCTTCATAGAATTTATCACTCCTCATTGAACATCCTCTAAATTACTTTTGAATGGCTTTCATATTTAAAATAAAACACTTTTTCACAAGATATTTTAAAGATTTATTTTTGGGGGCTTTTTGTGCCTTTAATGGAGAGATAGGACAGTGGATAGAGCTGGAAATCAGCGAGAGAGACAGTGGGGAATGACAATGCTGGAAAGGAGGAGGCTTTTGAGGACTATAGCCTCCATACATGGGGCGCGCGCACTAACCACTGTGCCACCAGCGCCCCATAAGAATATATTTTAAAGATGGAGTGGGGAGACATGAATTCTCTTTGATGGTTGCTGTTGTTTTCAATGTCCTCACTTTGCCTTTCTGTAAATCAAATGTCATTGCTCAATGCTACTGTGACTACATTTCTATAATAAGGCATGTGGTGACCTTATTAAAATTGTTGCAGTAACATCATTGTGTGTGGCCATGTTTTGTCTTCTGCTTGGGTTTGAACTACATGTTTCTGTCAAGGTTGCATTTTCTAGGGGGTTTAGATGTTCAAATATTACAAAGGTGGAGTTATTTTGAGACTAGGGTGACAGTCTTTTTGTCAGAAATACCACATTTATTTATAGTTTTAAAGATGAAGGCTGCTTTTGATTTTAGACCACCTGCAGTCTGCCTTTTTACACTCTGCTGACTGTGTTTTTTTTCTAACATTAGAAATATCGTATTGTTCAAATAAACCAATAATATATTTGGGGTTATGTCAGTAAGGGGTCAATCTGAAGGTAAAAATAACAATACCACTTGTTATGTTGTTTCAGAGATTGTGTTTGGAAAATTCAGTAACAAGACTAAAAGTAACTAAAGAGTGCCTTTAACAAAATCTGATAATAAAATGTTTTGTCTTTCAATGGGTTGTTGATGACCACAAGGAAGGAGATACCATTACGCTATCCTATCACGTGAGAGATTCATTTGAGAATATGACCCTATGAGAATAAACACGGTCAGGCATCACATGGAGCAAATATTAACCCCGCCACAGCACTCAACTTTCAGTTGTTGGCCTGCATCTGAGAGGTAGACATGTTTTCTTGACTCTGCATGGGAAACACAAATTATGTGGTTGTCTTTGTCGCTGTTTTATATTGAATGTTTGTTGTTTGAAATGTTCTAAAATACAAAAGAGGAAAGCCAGCAAATACATAACATTAGGGAAAATTTCATAAATGTTTTTAAGTGTTTGTCAAGACTTAAAAGTAAAGACAATATAAGCTGAATTATTTCATTATTCGGAGACTTAAGCTGTATGCATTTGTATTATTGTTGGCATTACTAATGATATGGCTTTGGATTTTCATGAATTTCTCTGTCTTGGTGTTGATTGAAAAGGTGATGATGACCTACTCCAATGTCACAAGAATGAGAAGCTTCTCAATCCTTGGATTCCCTGGACTGTCACCACAGTATTATGGTCCTGCGTCGGCGCTCTTGTTTTTCATCTACCTTGTTATCGCACTGGGAAACGTGTTCATTTTAGCCTTCGTTGTGTATGAGAAGACCCTGCAGAAACCGATATATCTGGTCTTTTGTCACCTGGCACTGAATGACTTAACATTTGGCACTGTGACTCTCCCAAAGATCATATCGAAATATTGGTTTGGTGACAGCATTATTTCCTTTCATGGATGCTTTGTACAGATGTTCCTTGTTCATTATTTGGGATCAGTGACCTCTTTCATCTTGCTAGTAATGGCTCTTGATCGATTTGTTGCTATATGTATTCCTCTGCGTTATCCAGTCCTGATCACAAACAACATCATCTCTGTGCTCTGTGGCTTTGCTTGGTTCATACCTGTGTCTTTGATGGTCACCGTTGTTTACCAGGCCCTTTCTTTACATTACTGTAAATCAAATATCATTGCTCAATGCTTCTGTGACCACATTTCTATAACAAGTCAGGCATGTGGTGATGATGTGAAAATTGTAGCGGTCACTACTCTCTGTATGGCCATGTTTTGTCTTTTGCTTCCTCTGGCATTCATCTTGTTTTCCTATGTTTCAATAATCGTGGTAATTATGAAGATGTCTAATGTTGAAGGGCGCAAAAAAACCTTCTCAACGTGTACCCCCCAGATATTCATAACATGTGTCTTTTATCTTCCAAGGTGTTTCGTTTATGTAGCTAATACTATTGGCTTTATTTTCAGTTTAGATGTTCGTATTTTATTGATACTATTCTACAGTCTGCTTCCTCCTGCTGTCAATCCAATTATATATTGTTTCAAGACTCAAGACATTAAGCAGACTTTGATGAAGAAGCTTAAAACAGCGAGGATCGGAGTAGAGATAAAGCGGCTGATGAGCCGATGATACATTCAGTCTGCTCAAAATGTTTTTTTGAAGAGTTAATTGGTCGTGCATTTTATTACTGTAAAGCATGCAGTCAACAGAAGTTTATGAATGTGATAATGAAATGGAATATTTTTCTGTGGAAATATCAAGTGTCATTGCTTTAGTAATAAAATAGAAAACAAGATGCAACATGGTGAAATAATACTACAATATCTGTATCATAAAAAACTCAAAATAAAGCTATGTTGTTTTTTTTCTTCTTCTCACAAACAGGTTTATTTTTCAGTCCATATAGGAGACTGAATCAAAAGGGCAATATAATCACTACAATTATATTCTACACCAACAACAGCAGTTTGTACGGTAACATTAATGGACCTAACACTCGTTACGTTATACAGTCTGTTGGGTCAAAAAGAGAAAAGCAAGCTCTTTACAGAATTAACTGCAATGATTTATAAGCAACAAAAAAACATGCCTGAGTGCTGAATGGCTTGCCTAACAGAGATAGCTTTGCTGTCTTACAGGCAAGCTTTGACTTATATATATAATATATAATATATAATAATAATAATAATAATATAATATATTATATAAATAATAATTTTGAGCAATTTTTATCAGACAAAAATATGTGCTGTCCCCCTGAAAACATTTACAGAAAGAGTTTGTGTCTTATGGTTTAGAGAAAATTAAAGAGTTCTTATGTAGACTTAAAAAATAAACATAAAGACTCATATTTCTAAGACTTGGTACACTCAACATGCAATAGCCTCATCGACAATTAATCTATGGGGCCCTAAGCAGTTGCCTACTCTGCTATATAGCTGTCCGTTTTGATTTTCTCATACCTTGCAAAAAGTTGCAACCCTTCAAACTATGTTGCATAAAAACACAAAGTTTTCTGAAAATATTGTCATGCAATCTGTGTCTGAGCCGCATATTGATCGTGATTGTATGCACATACTATTTGAATAAACATTTCATGTGTCAAGTCACACTGATCCTAGAACTACTTACACTCAATTTGAAATGTGTTCATTTGGGATTTAGCTGTTGACACTTTGAGATGCTTAAAAGGTGTCTCTAAAGGGAGATGTTGCAGTGAGTTCATGAAATCAGATCTCGTGTAAGTATAACAGGGTCGATTCTAACTTGATATTGTCTAAAGAAAGAACTGAAATCACTGAAATACTGTTTGTTTGTTGACTTGTAAAACTTGAATTAGTTTGGTCTTTATGTTAATGCTTGCATATCATTTGCTGTTTATTTTAACGTGTTCCATCTGATAGTTACTGGTATAGGCTGTAATTGTGATTTAAAAGGATTATGTTGTACACTAATGTAACAAATATAAATCATTTCTTTATCATTGGATTTCCTGGACTTTCACTGGAGCACTATGGGATTGTGTCGTGCCTGCTTCTTGTGCTCTTCTTGGCTATAGCGTTTGGAAATATGTTTCTTTTAGTGTTTGTTAAATGTGAAAGCTCTCTTCACAGACCCACATATCTTATCTTTTGCCACTTGGCATTAACTGACTTAACATTTGGAATTGTTACTTTGCCAAAGATTATCTCTAAATATTGGTTTGATGACAGCATTATTTCATTTTATGGCTGCTTTGCACAGATGTACTTTATTCATCTTATAGGTGCAGCTCATTCTTTTATCCTGATGGTGATGGCTCTTGATCGCTCTATTGCAATTTATGCTCCTCTGCGTTACACTGTCCTTTTCACAAACACATCTGCGTCTGTGCTTTGTGTTATATCCTGGTTACTGCCAATATCATGGATGGTGGGAGTAGTGTTAGATGCTCTTTCACTCCCTTACTGTAACTCAAACCTCATTGTACAGTGCTATTGTGATCATATAGCAATAACAGCACTGGGATGTGAGAACGTACGAGACGTTCAGATAGTTGCATTTGGTCTTGCTATGTTCAGTCTGTTGGTGCCTCTTGGTTTTATCATCATATCATATTTTATCATCATTGTTGCTGTGATGAGAATCTCGAGCGCTGAGAGCCGCATCAAGACTTTGTCGACCTGCACGCCGCAGCTTCTCATCACGTTCCTGTATTATATGCCGAGGTGCTTTGTGTACCTGGCTAATAATGTGGGATTCACTTTCAGTGTTCCTGTTCGCATTGTTGTTGTAATGCTTTACAGTTTGTTACCTGCCGCTGTCAACCCCATAATATACTGCTTCAAAACAAAGGATATCAAAGACAGCTTGAAAAGGAAATTCTTAGTTAGGAAGGTTAACATCAGCACAAAAACATGATTAGCAAAATGTTTGAAAGAGTAGCGATTTATTTGATACGGTACCGTGGAGCAATGTGCGATGAAGCCAAGTGATATGTTACAATGTGCTTTGTTTGCTGTTTCAAAGGTTTCACAATCCGGTGCTTTTAGAGTCAGTTTTGCACAAGAGGCCCACAAGCAGCATCTCCTGATTGACTTGACTTTTCAGCTCTGCATCTCCTTTCCAAGTAAGGAAAACAGAAACAGAAATCCCTGGTACTGGAAGGTCTCCCTTTTACGAGGTTCTTTCCAAGTCATTGTGTTAAATATTTATAACTGAACCTTGAAGCTTTTCTTTAAAAGTGTATCAATAAAATTAAGTTTCTGATTATAGTTCACTCTCATTACTACTTAAATTCAACACAACCGTTGGCTAACTTTGTTGTTTTTGGAGCAGCGTTATGACACTGGCATGGTTCCACTGTGGGATTGTGATTAGTGGGACTTTCTACCTGCTGAATCCAGATTTTAAACACAGGTATGATAGTATAATGTTAAGAATTAAGTGGATACGAGTGTTGGGGAAAGGAATGATACATTTTTCACTAACTTTAGATAAAGCAGGTCGCTTGGTCAAGTCGTACACATAATTAAATTGGCAATAACAAAAAGTTGTCTTTCCTTTTGAGGATTCAAAGTTAAAAGCTTGTTGAACCACCAGCCTCTATGAGCCTAACAAATTGACTCTGTTATTTGTACATATAAAGTTTGCGGTTTATTTTTAAGACATGCATTGATTAAATGTTTTTCCACATCGCGACAGAAATCGACGAATCAAATATTGTGACAGAAAAAAAGAGGAATAGAAAATCTACAAATAAAATTTGACGTTTAATTTCAAGGCATGCATTGATTTCTTTTTTTCCAACATCACAAAATAAATCGATGGAATTATGTGAGAGAAAAAAGAGATGGAAAGAAACCAGGTGTCTGTGGCTATTATAGTGAGTCAGTTCAATCGTTTCACTCAGACACATTGACATGATTGGATTGCCTTTAACTGCCCAATAAAAAGTTAAGTAAGATAAGAATAAGATAAGTTGAGTTCATTAATATTAGAAAAGATGTATTTTTTAAACGTGTTGCCTTTAAGCAGACATTAAAGATACTTTAAGTGCAAGAGTGACTGTGAGGGAGCTCACACTGGTCACTCACTGAGTGTGGGGAGGAAATCATCTCAGTGCAGTGTCAGGTGTGTGTGTGTGACTGATTGGCCCTGACAGAAAGCCTGCATTCAGATTGTCCCTCCTAACCCCCTTCACTATCCACTTTACCTTAACCCCTTCTGACAATCCGACCGCATTTCCACTAGCTGACGTAAATATGCGACGGAGGAGCTTAATGCCGTGGGTCTGCCGTGGTGAAACTATAATGTTCCGAAAATGGACCACTAAAAGCGCATCTAAAAAATTTGCTCCTGTGACCTTCTTACCGGTGAAAAAGTTTCTACTTACCACAAGGTTGGAATTGCAATAAAAGGCATATAGGCTACCAAGCCATGAGTAAGAAAAGTGAAACCATCACCTTCCTGTCCACTCATAAATCAATTCATCCAAAATACCTAAATTGTATGAAATGAATTGTTACATTTATGCAAAGATGTACAAAATGTTTTAAGCATACTTATGTACAAATGCACAAAGCCTTCTTAATTGAATGAAATATGTTGAATAAAACATCATCTGCGTCCCTTTTCGTTCATCGTTAATTTATGTGAACGGTCGGATGTGCGAGTCGATTTAAATGTTGCAGCCGCAAGGAATTGTGTGACGCCATATTTCATCCCCTTCCTAAAGGATGGTCCAGTGTACCCTATGCTAAAGGAGGTTATAAAGGAAGCATTGATGCACCTTTCCTTAGCTTTTAGAGAATTCGAACGGCTCTTATCATGGCCGCCACTCAAATGCTTCCGGGTCATTTCACTCAGTTGGTAACCTTCATAAGCAAAAAGACAATTTGAACGCACCCTACCTGTCTAAAGTTCGTTCCAACATCAGTCACCAACCTGGCACCTGTTAAACCAATCAGTGCACATCATTTTACTCTTATTACTATATGTTTTATGACTGCCTGTCTTGTGTTCGTTTTTTATTATATGTACATTTCATAGAGTTTTGTGTTTTCCCTGCACTTTTGCTCAAAGAAAATGTCTTGAACAATAAAGTACATCTTATCTAAATGTATCTAATCAAATGTAAATATAAATAATCTAATATAAATGTATCTAATTTCATGTAGTCTAATCAAGTCTAAATATAATATAAAATAAATGTATCTTATCTAACATATTATATTTAAATAAACTTAAAGCCAAGCATTAAATATTTTAGTCCAATCAAGTTGACATTTCATTTATTTTTATTCTAATAACAATAACTACAACTCAAGTTTTAATGATCCACTACTGAACATTGAAAGCACAAGTTTACTACAGTTGTCTTAATGAACTCATCCTATCTGGGAAAACGCCTGTGCCCAACAGTTCATAGGCAGTATTGTCCACAAGCTGAATATTTGCAGAGAGCGGTATATTAACACTTATAATGATACAGCACTGCTCTCAGCAACACTCTGTCATTCATTCTGCAGTGTAAGTTAAGGCAGAGCATACGTTTTAAGGGATGGTTATGACTCCTCTTTTTTGTTGTGTAAATCTAGATTTGAGCAGAGTTATACAAACATGAAAGGTCACACAAAGTCCTTTATGTTTTCATATAAAATAATTTACAATATTAAGAACATACGTAAAAGGAACATTTTATAATTAAAAAGTAAGCTAATGAATGTATTTATACCTCTCAGAGAGATTTTAACAGAATGAATCATGTAGGCAAGAAATAAAGACCTGACAAATTGTATATTTTATTTGTTTGCATGATATTTCAAAAAGTCAGTTTTTCTCCCTCTGTGTTTGAAGGCACTGTGAATAAAATCTAACATTCCTGATCTAGCTCTCTCTTCTCAGTCAGACAGACTAACATTTCAAACATACACTAAAGAAACTTGAAATGTATGCGTGAACAGGCTACTGTTATATTTAATTAAACATGACTTTTCACAAGTATTTCTTTCTTTTTTTTACCTTTTATTTATTTAATGACATGTTGTATTTGTAATCTTTTAGTCTTTTGTTGTAGATTTCTGTTCTTACTGTAGTAGTAGTATTGATGAGGCACTTAGGGCTGCATGTTTATATGGAAGTTGCTATGGAAATATAGATCAGGTGAGTTGAACTCAGATGAGGTTTTACAAAGTATGGAACTATATTTGTTTTTCTCATGCTGTTTGCATTCAGAAATGATGCCACCCCCATCATTAGGACAGACTCTGCTTTACAATATAAAGGGACACACTCATCCAGACTTTAAGGGCAGACCTGACACTGGGATAGCTTGTGTTAGATCCTCTGAGGTACTTCAACTTTGTGTCCTGTTTTTGACATTATAATTATTGACACTGAAATGTAATTTATTTGTTACTGTTTTCTAAATTGCAAAATTGTGTGATTTATTCCATTTTTGTTCAAAAGCTGGTTTCTGCTTACCTGTGAGTATGAAAAACACCAATATTTCAACTATAGATCATTTTATCATCATTGGATTCCCTGGACTTCAGCCTGAGTATTATGGACCAGTGTCTGTTCTTCTTCTTTTCATTTTCTTATCTATTGTGGTTGGAAATGGTTTTATTTCAGCTGTTATTGTGTACGAGAGGACTCTTCACAAACCAACATACATAATCTTTTTTAACCTTGCAATGACAGACATCCTTTTTGGTGTTGTTACTCTTCCAAAAGTTATTGCAAGATATTGGTGGAATGATGTAATATCTTCATTTAGAGCCTGCTTTACACAAATGTATTTTGTCCATTCTTTAGGAGCTATTCACTCTTTAATTTTACTGATGTTAGCTTTGGATCGCTTTGTTGCCATATGGTTTCCTTTGCAATATTCCTCTCTGTTTACAAACAAATCTATTTCTATTGCTTGTAGCCTGTGCTGGAGTCTAACATTCATTCGCATGTTGGGGATTGTATTGCATGCTTCAACTTTACCTTACTGCAACCTAAACGTCATCTTACAGTGCTACTGTGATCATGTATCAGTAACTCGGCTGGGATGCGGTGATCAAGTTACATATGTATATTCTGTTGCACTTGCAAATGCCATGGTCACTCTCTTGGTTCCTTTAACGTTCATAATATTTTCATACTTTTCTGTGATCATAGCTGTGCTGAAAATGTCTCACACCGAGAGGCGGCACAAAGTGCTGTCCACCTGTGCCCCTCAGATCTTTATCACCTGTTTGTATTATGTACCCAGATGTTTTGTTTATATTGCTCATAATTTGGGCTTCAGCTTCGGTGTTTACACCCGTACTGTTATAACTATGATGTATAGCCTCATACCTGCTCTAGTGAATCCCATAGTATACTGTTTCAAGACTAAGGACATTAAAGAAGCCTTGATTCACAGATTCAAAAGCAGAAAAGTTAGCATTGAAACTGCCTCTAAACAAAATAATAGGGAAACAAAAAGTTAGTTGCACTAAAGTTGCCATGTAAGGCAATCTAAAAACAATGTTTGCTCTTTATTCCAAAACAAGTAATTTCCCTGAGTTTCATATTTTTTAAGTTTGAATTCAATCATATCTGCTTGTGGCTATGAGTTTATCTTTGATCTGCAGATTCTGAGACTGTTATGAACCGCACAAATATTTGCAAGTTGTAATAAACAATACAAATGTTGAAAACTGACATTCCCCTTGATCTTACTGACTGATAAAGTTACCATTTAACTTAAGCATTTGCTCGGAAGATCTAAAATTTTAATAAAAACAACAACAATAGTCAGTTAAGTCTTTGAAGAAAACCAGCAAGAGTAAACATGAAACCCAGAAAATGTGATTAACATTTTAATAAGTTTTACAGATCAAAATCATCTCAATGGGCAAGTAACAGACTGCAAACATGTTTTCCAACCTTGATGAGGTTGGGAAAAGATGATTAATATCAGATAATTTCCTCTATGTCACTTTGTATATCATAGCTATGACTGTGCTCAGTGGGTAGACGTGCAATATCCTCAAATACAGGAGCATAGCTGCGAAAAGGTAAGTGTAAATTTAAAATATTGCCCCATTGCTCAAACTTAGTGTAGGGAATGCTCTCAGTGTTAGGCTGAGAGGGGCCTTGTTTCCTGAAGCTGTGCGTTGTCAGAGATGACTGATCATGTGTGAATTTCCTGTCGCTGAAGACAGAAAACAGTCCACAGTCAAACCCTGCACCGGTGAATGTGCTGTCTGTGTCACTTTCAGATGAAACCTCCATCATCATGCTGGATCTCGGAGATGCTTGATGTACAATTCTCTGCTCCAGTGGATTGTTCAGATTACTGATTTCTTCCAATGTGAGGCATTGTGCAGGCTCCAGGAACTCTGGTTGTATAAAACTCTTGTTACAATGTGGTGTATGCTGGGAGTTCTCTGTGTCAATCTTAAGCCTGTTTAGGGAAGACACATTTTGAGGCTTTGTAGCCTTTTTTGCCCAAACCTCATGGGAGTGTTCATTGTTAAATCCTGCTACCAGCATCCTCAAATCTCCCCCATGTTTAGGTTCAGTTGTCACACCTTCTTTACGGTCTAAATGCTCATGAAAGTTGAGTTTAAGTGAAGCAGTTTTTGAAGGACTTGCACTAGAGATGCTACCAATCTCATAATACTCTGGCTCACTATGTGGCAGCGACTGAACACTTGACGAACTGGCTTCACAGTAAAACTCTGCAGCACCTAGTTTTTGCTGATCTGCACTCATCGGGTCATGGCTATTCTCTTGTCCTGTGTGTGCACTTCTGTTGTCATTGAAGCAAAAGGCTGCGTTGTCTGTTCCTTGTTCTCTTTTCTGCTGCGTACTATCACGAGTACATTTTGCATTTTGCCGCCTCGCTTTATACTGAACAGTAAACATTCCTATAATCACAAGGATGGAGATAAGAGGAAGAATCACAGCTATGAGCCACAGGGGCCCGCTGCCCTGAGCCTCTGAGCATCCACGAAGGCTCTCTGCTGTAGAGATGCAGACATCACAGGTGGGGTTAGAAACATTATGAAAACAGATGCAGGACCCGTTCTGCACATCTGGTCTGCACCTCCGCCTGTTTTTACAGTGCGCAGTCAGACAACTGCTCCTGGCTGTGTCCTCGTCAGAGCAGGGCGGCGGATGGCAGACACCTGATGAGCTGCAGTTAGACTGGAGAAGAGATGGGCTCGGCCAGACATCCACCATCATACTGTGTCCACTGACAGGCAGGGAGTGACCATTCATATTGAAATACTGCACACAGCCAATCAACCCTGTCACAGAAAAATGAAGATAACTTAAATTGATGTCTTGAAGTGTTCATAAAAAATCTCCTTTATGTTTGATTGAAATGTAAAGCTTATATTTTGTTATATCCACTTGAGAGGCGAGGGAAATGTAGGTGTTGGCTTCACATACAAGTAAAATTGCTACAAATTAGACACAAGAAAACCCTTGGCCTCTCTAATACCTTTATTTTTTTTTACAATATTTTCATCTAAACACATAGGCACACAAGGCAACCCTTAAATGATTTTACTCAGATGCTCTTTTCATTCAAATATACGATACATCTGCATAAATAAATGTTTCGCATTCTACATTTTATTAACCTTGACTAAAAAAACAAGACGAGTGCTGCCAGAGATTAGAAGTACAGTTTTTTTTATAATGCCAAATAAAGATTTGTAAGTCATCAAAAGTTGTTGTATATTTACCTGACAGTTTGAGAGTCGAATCACCTGTCAGGGTTGCACCAAGTACAATCTTCTCCACAGTCACAGGAGTGAGCGCCATTCTTTGATCAGTGATGTTTAAAACTTGAATACCATCCATGAGCAGGAAGATCTTTTGTCCATTTCTGAACAAAGAGAGGACACGCCAAACCCCGTCAGCCACGGGAGAGTCCAACGTGAACTCTGACAGGTGTCCAGACGATGTGTCTTTAGAAATGTACACAGGCTTTCTGTCTATTATCTAAAATTATCAGAAAAAGGAAACAGTTTATTACTCCAAAGATGAATACATATGTTTTTTTTTTAAAAAGCTTTTTGATTACTACCTTTAGCAGAACGAATCCTGTCTGATGAACAATAAATATTAACACTCCATCATCTTGAGTCTTGAACTTGATGTTAAACACATTTTGGTTCCTGGTGTCTTCTTTATCATCACTATCTTGGAGTTTTTTCAGCAGGTAGTCTCTTTTGAATCTCTCCTTGATCACATACTGAATGTAGTCAATCCCACTAAATCGCAAAACAAGCTCCTCTGACATTTCTTATTAAGAAAGAAAGAAAATTAGAAAGGAGTGGTAATGACAAAAATAAATAAAAATCTGTCCTGTGTAAAGCACCTTTACCTGTGGCACAGTTGCTTCCAGTAAAAGGGCTTTTGCACTCACAAAGAAAGTCAGACCAAAGGTCATGGCAGGTGCCACCGTTCTTACAAGGGTTGCTATGACATGGTGATGGTGATGCCCGAGGACACCTTTAAAGAAAATTATATGAAAATTCAAAAAATTAAAGACACACAGATACAGTTTTGGAAGAGTTGTTGGTCATGTCATGCCTTCATAATTTGGATACAGTATGAAAATGACAGTAAAAGTTGGAAGGTGGCTTGATTGAAAATAGGGATGCCAAGTCAGTTCAGCCTACCCCACAAAGGTGCCCTGATTACATATTTAAAGTCAGAGTTCTTACAGATTATGATTTTATTTGAAAGGAATTGTGATTTTTATAATTACCGATCAAGGATATTATATGTTGAAAGGGCCATTGAAGGTCTTAGCAGGATGCCGTTCACATGAATGTTACGAATACACCCAACGAAGTCATGGGTCTTTATCTGGGCAGGATGCAGTAAAATATATTCAGCAGTCCTCAATCCTCCGAATGTCATATTACTGCCAACATCTAGAGTCCTAGTTGTGGGTAGAGGCAGACAAATAAAGATATAAAAATGGTTTCGATCAGATACGGTTAATTGTTGTACAATATTTAATATTACATAGCTACCTCTCCAGGCTGCTGCCATCACTCTGTGAAAAACAAAATCCCATGTTCTCAGTGTCAGTGCAGTTGTCCACATTTACAGAACCCATCTGTTGAAGGAAAATAGCAAGATGTATTTTCAGTTAGCTCAACTTCCAATTTCTAAAATGATGTTTACTTAATTGGACTTGATTTATTCTGTGTGCTGACATATTTTAAACTCACACTGCCAATCCTCCTGACAGTGACACTGTGAAAATATCCATCTGCCACTTGCTTATTTGTGTGCAGCCTCACAGGTCCTGAGCCGAGGTCATACGAGAGGCGCATGGACCCATCCAGAATCTCCAGGGCAAAGAACTCCCTGCTTGATGATGATCCTCCGGGGTTATACAGGAGTAGCGAGTCCCTCTGCATCGTTGCAAAATCTAGAGAGATTAAATTAATCCTACGATCCAATGGGGGAAACGCCATAAAGGACAGTTCCTCAAAGCCATAACTGTGCTCCTCACAGGTGTCTCCACTGACTCCTGAAAAACATGACATTAAATGCACTGTTAGTGAATGAAAGTAAATTGCTCATAATTAAGCTAAATATGCACATCTGCTTCCTTGTTGTGGGGTGAGGATGCTGTTTAAATATAAGGTAACAGCTAGTAGATGATTAGCATAACCTGGCACAAAGACTTTGTGGGAAAACAGCTTGATGACTTTGCCAAATTAAAACATAAACCATCTAAAAGCACTTCTAAAGCTCAATAAAAAGTTACATCGAATTTGTTGATACTGTAAAATAAAACGTGTTAAAATAATTATTTAATGGATCGGAAACGTAGGGTGAATGGTAGAAGAGAATTGTGTGTTCATGAGTGCTTTTACACTTGCAAAAAAAACAAGCTGCATGTGTCAATGCAAACAACCAAATTACGTTAATTTTGACTTATCCCTGAATTGTTCCTGCCAGCCCACATGTAAGTTTACTTGTGAAGTCAGGATGAGCTGATCGGAGAACACAGCTGGAAATATTCCAGAAAAATTCAACAAGAGCGAGTGAGATGGGATGGTGACATTTATTTTATGCAACTGCCGGTATGTTCTTTGCTATGTTGCTGAAATTGGTGATGTGTTGAACTACAAAAAACATTAATTTTAGGGTAAAAATGTGTATTGTAGCATCATGTAACAGAATCTATTGCTTCATCCACTGATTCCGCCTTTTTTCTTTTTATGTCATTACCTCCTGCTGGTTACCTAATAAAGACTCCCTTCCCAGAAATGATAAGAAATAACAAATTAAATAAATGACAAAAACGTGTTAAATGTTTGTACCTACTTTTGCAGTCTTTGTGCTTAGCTAGCCTAACTCTCTACTAGCTATATTTAAGAGACAGATGTTAGAGTAATTTTGTCATAACTCTCTTGAATTGTTCTTACCAAAAGGACAGTGGCAGGAGAATCCAGTCTGTGTATTGGTACAGTTGCCCTGAACACATGGGGTTGACCTGCAATGGTCGATGAAGTGCTCACACATTTCACCTGGAAAAAGCAATCCAGAGACTGAAGAGATTCTGAAAATGTTAAAGAAGACATTTTTAAAATCTTAATAAGCCAATATCTACCTTCAAGCCCTGGCACACATTTACACTGATATCCATCCTGAGTGGGACTACAGGTGGCTCCGTTTTGGCACTTCACCCTCAGGCATTCGTCTACATCAGCAGAGCAGACAGAGCCAGAGAAACCACCCTGACAGTGACAGTAGAAACTTCCTGCAGTATTCACACATGTGCCTTTGTTCTCACAGGGATTCACCTCACATTCATCGATGTCATCCTCACACAGTGTCCCAGTGAAGCCTACTGGGCAGGTGCAATTAAATACCTCCTTTTGCGGTGACACAAAGATGACAGCCTCGCTTTCCAGAACAGAAACTTCCTGGCTGATGTAGATGTTTTTGTTGCATTTTGCTCTATTTTGACATGGGCTATTGAGACATGGATCACTGGTGATGTGAGATATTGTCACATTACTCTGCACCTCCAGTAACCTCTTATGTCCTGTGGAGATACCACTGGCTACTTCTTTACTAAGATATCGACCATTGTAGTTTTTAACCGCAGCCAATAAAAGGATTTCACTGCCAATTTGTTTTATTCCAAACACATGAGTCTTAGAGGCCTGTAGGTTGAAAAGACTGTCCAGAGCTTTCACAAATCGCAAATAGTTATTGGATGCAAACTCTTCCAGGGATGATGTTGACACATAGAATAATATACAGCTGTCTATAGAGGCATTCGTAAATCCTTTGTAGTTCACGTAGATACTGTTGTTGACTGGGAAGTGAAGCTGGTCGGTAGCTTCAACTGTGATGTTAAAAGTAGCCTCTCCTTGAAAAGAAGATGACCACAACTCACATGTACCATTAGTTATCGTAAACATATTATGTGATCCACTTTTGATGGCACAGTTGAATGTATCAGACTCATCCTGATCCTCAGGATGGACATTACCAATCATGCCTCCCTGGAATGAACTGCCAAAATATTTGACCTCAATGAAGATATTTCTTGGCATTGAAGGATTGTCGTTTTCATCAAGGATCTTGATGTGGAACATTTCTGTTGATGACTGCTGAGGGATCCCTGAATCCATAACTGCCACTAAGACTTGATACAATGAGATTTGTTCTCGATCAAAAGTCCGTGTCGTGACTAGAACTCCATCAGAAGTGAGTGAAAAAGCACTATCAGTTGAAGGATTAACCAACAAGTAAGTGAACGGCCCTTGGTTTGGCACCAAGTCAGAGTCAGATGCATTTAATCTGGCAACAACAGTGCCTTGAGGCTGATTTTCTTTAACATGAGCCTCATTGAATGTGAGTTTGGGAGCATTGTCATTAACATCATTAACATTTATAATGACATTAGTAGTCCCAGTGGCTGGAGGAGAGCCGTTATCAGTGGCTGTTAGAGTTAGATTATAATGTGACCAGAGCTCTCTGTCAAGTAGAGAGATGATTGAAACGACACCACTTGATGGATTAACGGCAAAAGAGGAGTTTGTGTTTCCATTTTCAATATTAAAGAAGAAACGATTCCAGTCCAAAATGGAATCCTCATCCAGAGCGCTCACAGTTATCACAGAAGTCCCAATGGGACTGTCCTCTGACATATTCGCCACATAAAGAACAGAAGTGAACACAGGCGCTTCGTTGATGTCAATCACAGTGACTCGGACCAAAGTCTCGTCTACATTTGTGCCAGTAATAACACCAGGGTTCTTCGCCAGAACTTTAAAATCTGTATGACTGTTGCCTTGACTCCTCAAACTGCGAGTAGTGAATATTTCTCCAGAGATTTTGTTGATTTCAAAGCCCATATATTTCTTTTGACCGAACATCAGGTAGAACACTTGCCCTTCTGGGCCTTGGTCATCATCAGTAGCTGTTATTTTCCCAATCACAGTCCCGGCAGGCACATTTTTAAAAACAGAAAAGTTCAATTCTTTCTTACTGAAAATAGGTTTGAACTCATTGACATCTGAGATTTGAATGACAAAATATGACAAACTAAATAAAGTAAGGCCACCAATGTTTGTAGCCTTGATTGTTAAATCAAAGTTCTGCTCTTGCTCATAATCAAATACAACCAAAGTGGTTATTGTACCACTTCTTGAATCAATTAAGAACTTATCCACATGGCCAGCAATTAAAGAGTAAACTATTTGCGCATTTACACCTGAATCAGCATCAGTAGCCTTTATATCAAAGACATTTGAGCCAATATCGGAGTTTTCAGGCAGTGAAATGATGTACTCTGAGGATGAAAATACTGGGGGATTGTCATTCACATCCGTAACTACCACTGTAACATTTACCATGCCAGTTTTAGAGACCCAGCCACCATCCATGGCTTTTATCTGGAGATAATAAACACCTTCTTTTTCAAAGTCAAGCTCTCTGATCAGGGTTAGCAGCCCAGAGGTTTCTCCTATAGAGAATGGTAAATAAAGATTTTCTTGGGTAATGCCATACATTATGGCACCATTGGAACCATAATCCCTATCTTCTGCTTGAATTTTTCCAATTACTGATCCTACAGACAAGTCCTCAGGGGTAGAAAATGTGACATATGGCTCTCTAAAGCTTGGAGAAAACTGATTTATATCTGTAACTTCAAAAGACATTTCAATCTGTGATGATAACGAGGGAAAGCCCTGATCTTTTGCCATAACTACTAAAGTAAAAAATGAATTCACACTTGCAGCTATACTTTGTTTTAACATCAGTTTTCCATTGTCAGCATGGATCAAGAAGAAATCAGATGCATTACCTCCATTCAAGACATATTCAATGCCACCGCTGTTGTTATGGACATCCTGATCTATTGCTGTAATCTGGACAACCTCAGTACCAACAGCCAAGTCATATGGGAGAGCAATGAGAGGCTTTAAAGTTAGAAACATTGGTGGGTGGTAGTTATATGGTTCTAGTCTCACTGTGACAGTAGCATTACTGTACAAAGGAGAACTCCCACCATCGAATACAAAGACTATAAATTGGTATATTTCTAAATCAGAGTTGTTTAACATCAGTGGCTGCTTTGTATAGATTTCACCAGAAGAAGCGTTCACCCAAAACTTCTCACTTGGAGGCTCAATGACATACAAAATCTCACTGTTTTGGCCCAGGTCTGCATCTTGAGCAAGGACCTGCATGACAAACACTTCCTTATCCTTTGTTTCAGAAAGAACATGAGTGTAAAATTGATCAGTTAATTGTGGTCTGTTATCATTGACATCTGTAATGACTACTGTGACGTCAGTGCTAATGCTCCATGCTGAATCATTTGCATTTACTCTCAAGATATAGTGATCCTGAGTTTCCCTGTCAAGAGGTCTTTTCACAGTGATGTAGCCATGGGTTAAGTCAATATTAAATGGAACATCATCACTTTGGCCAATTATGGAGTAGCTAATTAAGGCATTGGCACCATTGTCTTCATCAGTGGAGGTTACTTGAATAATTGTGTGTCCGACAGGGGCATCTTCTGATACCACTGTAAGAAATATGTGTGAAAAACGAGGTGCATTGTCATTTCTATCTAAAACAACCACAATAACAGTTGCTTTGTCTTTATGAAGAGGGTTATTTTTCTCTGCAGCTTCAACTGTTAAATTGAAATCAGCAATTATTTCTCTGTCCAAACTTGTAGTAGTGCTAAGTAAACCAGTTTCAGGGTCAATTGTGAAAAAAATATCTGTGTTACCTTCTGTAATGTTGTACTGCACTGTGCCATAAATGCCTGAATCAGCATCCAGAGCAAGAACATCACAAACCTCGGTTGGCGGGGAGTTCTCAAACACCTCACATCTGTACTCAGCCTGGGTGAACTGAGGGAAGTTATCATTGACATCACTGATGTTTATGTGAATTTCCTCAAATGATGAAAAAGGTGCCGAGCCAGAATCTCTTGCTTCTATCAATAAAGTAAACTCCTTCTGGCTCTCATAATCCAATGGATTCTCTACTGTCAGCGCTCCACTTAATTGTTCCACATGAAACACGTCTTCAAAGTTTCCCGAAGCAAGATAGAAAGAGACTGGGTTAGCTCTGGTGCTTGCTGCAGACACTACTGCCACTAGTGTTCCCACTGGCTCATCCTCTGAGAGAGTATAACTCAGAATATCCACTTTAATTTCTGGAAACTCTGAGATGTTCTGAAATCTGATGCTGATAGTGGTGATATCAAATTTTGGATTTTCTCCAGCATCTTCCACATGCACATTGACAATGATATCTTCTGTTCTCTGGAGTGAATTGGAAGTAAACACAGTCCCACTGTATGGCTGGATGGAAAACAGATCTGAACTTTGTCCATATAATGAATAATGTAGCTCTGCGTTCATATCAGTATCTCCATCTGTTGCTTTTATGGCACAAACAACTGAACCTGTTGGACAAAACGTTCAAGGTTTTAGCAAAATTAAACTCTCAATCCTAACCTATTATCCAGTATCTAATGAAACTTGTTAGTGGAAGTGAAAATGCTTACCTGGAGCCATCTCAGTTGGCACATAGGCTACATAGGGGCTGTTCATGAACTGGGGCCAGTGGTCATTAACATCTCCAATGAGCACAGTAACTAGCACCGAGCTTGACAGAGGTTCAGTAGGATGCTTATCACTGCCAATTACCACCAATCTGTAAATGGCAACTGTCTCTCTGTCCAGGACATTGGTTGTAAACAGCTCTCCAGATGTTTCATCAATGGCAAATGGCACATCAAGATTCTCCAGGGAATACCTAAAAAAAAGTAAAAAAAAAAAAAGATGCAATAGACAGTGGACCCAAAAAAAAAAGGATGAATCAACACAAGAGAGAGTTGAAATAATTTATAAACACATTCGGGAGAAATGAAAAAACATGTCACCTTATGTCTCCATTGATATCCTCATCAATGTCCAATGCTGTAATCATAGCAAACACAGTGCCTGTAGGACTGTCCTCAGAGACTATGGTGTTGTAGATCTCTTCAGTAAACTCTGGTCGATTATCATTTATATCATCCACTATGATATGTATGGTTAGTGTTCCTGTTAGAGGTGGCGATCCTTCAATTGATAAAGTTAATAATCAGTTATCAAACTGTTTGAATTATCCCTGACAATTTGACATTTTTTGGCTTTAACCGGAAGCACCTGAATCTACAGCCATGATGGTAACTTGGTACAATGGCTCCATCTCTCTGTCCAGACTTTGTAGAATTTGAAATGTGCCACTGGGAGTGATGGAGAACAAACCATCACTATTCCCTGTCGGTATTAAGTATGTTAACTGGCTGTTTACACCCAAATCCTCATCTGCAGCTGAGACCTGGTTAAGAAAGACATGAAAAAGTTTAGAGGTCAACATCAACAACAGAAAAAACACCTTGAATGCACACTTTAGCTAAACAGAGCCAGAAGTACCTGGTGAATTAGTTGTGAAGGGTCCTTTTCATTTTCCAGAACATTTATGGTCAGTGTTTCTGGAGTAAAGCGGGGCACAAAGTCGTTGACATCCAACACTGTGACACTGATAGCAGCAGTAGCAGATCTGGGTTTACTCCCCAGATCTACAACTGTTATAATTAAGTTGTAGTTCGATTGCATCTCTCTGTCTAGTTTATCCATGACCATGACAACACCTCGAACTGAGTCCACCACAAAAGGACTTGTCTGGGTTAGTCTATATCGCACTTCCCCATTTTTCCCAATATCCCGATCAAGAGCAACAACTTGAAACAGGCTTGTTCCTCTGCGGATATCCTCTCTGACTGTAACATTGTAGGTGCTCTGTAAGAACTCAGGGTCATTGTCATTTACATCCTCAATGTGCACTGTAAGATTCATAGTGGTTTCCATCCCCGGTGAGCCTTTGTCTGTGGCTATAACAGTGATAGTCAGAGTATCTACCTGTTCTCTGTCCAATTCTTCCTCCAGGTAGATTTTACCACTTCTATTATCAATTCTAAACAAGCCCCCTGAAGTGTTGTTTAAATAATACAACACTTCCCCATTGGATCCAATGTCTTTATCCTCAGCGTGTACAGTTATCACAAGAGAATGAAGAGCAGTATCCTCTGGTATATTGAACTTTTTGGCTGACACAAACAGTGGAGCATTGTCGTTGATATCATCGACCAACACAACAACACGGGCTGAGCTGGTGAGCTGTGAAGACACTGGCTGGACACAGTCATTAGCTGTAACAGTCAGGTTGTAGGAGGACTGTCTCTCCCTGTCTAACTCTGTTTTCAGGCATAAACTCCCAGCAGAGTTTATGAAGAACACATCCTCTTCATCTCCATCAACCACTCTCAGTTTTAGGTCCCCATTTTCACCTGACAGGGGGAACATGATAATACATTAATACACTGTGATCACAAATGATACATCTCAATAATTTTTCAATATAAATCAAGAGGAAAAAAAGAGTTGTACTTTGCATGAGTCACACTGATACCAAGACCTTTTTGCTGCTATAAGTGTGTATGCTAATCGTATTAGCTGAATGACATAGTTACTTAATGGCAGTTAAAATATAGATAAATAAGATTTATTTTGAATATGACTATGATGTTAACCTGTGTAGCCAACAAATGTGTTAATATTAACTATGCTATACTACACTTATTACTTGGCAGGCTTCATTCTCAGAGTCAACCATCCTTTTCTTACACAGCACAGGGAAAATGTGCAGGTCAAAACAATTAATGTGGTGCTGTTATTCCTTGGAATCATTTATATTTCTACAATAAACTCAAAGATTGTTGATAATTTGTATGCCAATTGCGGAGATGTGTACAGTATATCTCTGAGGGGAAAAATCCTATCAATACATGGTTACAGAAACTCATTAGCTTTCTGTGAACTGTGCACCGCAATGAGAATTGTCAATTTGACCACCCTTAATTGCTTGGACCCATAAATCCCCATGTGCTTTAGAAAAAAGAAGATATGTGGTGGTGCAAACAAGTCCTGTATTTGCAGCATATGAGCCAAAACAATGAAGAATTTTTAGGCTTAAATAAATCATGTAAAACTTAAAAGCTTTCCTTTATAATTTATGTTTAAAGAACATGATCAAATTAATTTTTGCATAGAAAAAGTGATTTTAGTACATGAGAAATGTTGGAGGAATGTTAGATTTCAGCTGTTACTTACTGATGCACTTACCATCATCTTTATCTGACACCTCTAAGGACAGAAAGCAAGCGCCGACTCTGGCGTCCTCCAGCAAAGACGCAGAAAAAGTCTCCTGACTGAAAAGAGGGGGGTTGTCGTTCACATCCAACACATTGAAGTACACCCTGACACTGGGAACCTGAGAGTCCCCCTGCTGCACAGCCACGGTGAGTATGTAAAAACTCTTTGCCTCATAGTCCAGACTACGGGACAAAAGGAACTCCCCTGAGAGGGGACTGAGGAGGAAAAGGTTCTCTCCGTCATCCTCCTGCACTGAATATGTGATATGCGTGAGACCCTGAAACACTGTTTCCACCTTTCCCACCACTGTTCCTGTCAACACAAAACAAGAAACCCTTTTATGGATATAATACAGTATGATCTTGAATAACAATTATTAAACTTATTATTATTATTTCAAGCTCTATCATGTTTCACTTCAGTAATAAATGATAATAAAATTCAAATAAATGGTAATAGGCCTTGCTGCACAGATGACTGACCTGGTGCTGTGTCTTCTTTCACTTCAAATGAATAAACAGTTTTGGAGAAAGCCATCTGTGTTTGCCATCTGTTTTGAGATTGTAAGCTGCTGGTGCCTTTCTTTGGCACGGCACCAGTGGATGTCAAATACCATGAGGGGGGCATATGCTGCCCAGAGACAATATCTGCTAACTGTCTCCCACTGCTTACATTCACTGCATTACCTGATGAAGACTCATGACAGGAGGTAGGATTAAACACCTGAGGAACAAGAGAATTAAAGTAATGATGGACTGTTTCTCATTAAAGTGTTTAATACATAAAAATCTGCTTTTTTTAAGAATTTCAATTATGAATAGATTGTCTTAGCAACGCCAAAGTTATGCTATCACAGCTTGTAAATATTTCTGACATTATCATGCACTGAAAAAGTATACAGTAAAAACATACATTAGTATAAGTTGTATCAGGAACAAGCTTACATGCCTGCTACAAGTAAATTCAAAGGGTAACTCACCAGGAAATTAAACAATAAAATGGTATATTGTCTCCATTGTCCAGTAGACTCCATTGTACAGGTTACTTCCAAGTTCTTCTTACTTTGTCATGATTGAAACGTATCTAAAGGAAAGATTCTAAACATGACAAAACAAAAGTAAAAAGTGAAGTCCTGGAAACTGCACAGCATAAACTTCATGCTGGACCAGCAAGTGGAAAACTATAAAAGCTGTATCCATAGTGATTACTCAATCTTCTCAGCGGGTAATCCTGACTGACACACCCCTTTGACATCACTCCATTCAAATCCTGCAACAGAGAAAAAGTTGTTTTGGGCCTCCAAAATGCCTAAGATTAAAAAGTTAGCTGTTGTTATAAGTATCTAAAAAGAAACATGCCTCAAAATCTGGTAATAAAAAAGTCCACACGTCATCGTCTTTCTTTCTTCAATCAAAATCCTTCATTTCTTCATTTTTTAGCTGGTAAAAGAGAAATGTGCAGTAACATACATGTTGTTTGTTCCTGAATCAGTCTGTTTTATATTCTCTGCATGGATTTTGCTTTTGAGGTTCCTGTGTGTAGAGATGAAATGGATTCTTTTAACCTCCAGTAAGGTGGCCTAGAGGGAGCCTTTCTTGCTGCGTGTCAGATGGCTGACTCATTCAGAGTCCGCACAGCGTTCATTCATTGGGTGAAAGGGAAGAAAAGAAACAAAATTGCTGCTCTGAATCACTGGCTTCAAAAGAGAGCTGACATGACACTGACACACATAGTCAAAACTGAAACTGGGAAATGACAAGTATTGCCAAAACATTATAATTCAGTCAAAATTAGATTACTGCTGTACGGCCTCAGTTACTGTAACCTGTATAACACAGTACATGGGGTAACAGCATTTTACAGCTTTTTTACAATAAATTAGAATCCTCATAACAACATGCAGGAACAATACAGATAAAAGCCTGTGTCAGTATTTAACCCACAAAAAGGAGGACACTGTGTGGCGATATTCAATATTATTTACTAACACTTTGCAGAAGAGCAATGCAGCTGGGAAAAGTCTGACAAATGGTCATGTGAACCTTCTAAAGGGACTGCGAGGCCACCCTGACTGTGAGACTGTCTCCAATTACACGCAGAGGGAACTCTATCACAGCAAACGTTTACAAAAGGCCTATCCATGCCTGGGCTAACTGGGAAAGTCCACACAAACACTAACAGCACTTGTGAGAGTTAAATAGATGTGCAACAGACATTTTGATTACAGAAGACTAATTCTTACACATTTGTTTGTTCTTGGAAAGAGTCTCTTTTGCATGGAATAGATTAGTCGATTTAATAATGTAACATGGTATCATAAGGGGAAGTTATTCATATTCACTGTATGTTTGGTACAAACCGTAATGGACTTTTAAAGAGGACATATTAAACCCCTGTTCCACCTTTTCAAACATTCCCCTGTGGTCTAAATTAAACATCTGTGCTGTGCTTTGGTCAAAAATATAACATGAATCAAGCACCAGAGGAGGTTTGTGACCCTGTATAAACCAGCTCTCTCAGACAAGAATAAAAATGGCGGACCTGCGCAAAAGTTTTGTTCTCGGCTGGGGGTGGAGTCCATGGGTGGATACCAGAATCCAACTTGAGACATCACAAGTTGAGCAAATTTGAAAAGGAGCATTTTCCCTGTGTTGTAAGACTTGTGCAGACTACAAAGGGCTGGATGGATTTATTTCACATTTTGTGGGGGGGGTTCGATCCCCAGCTCCTGCAGCTACATGTGCAATGTGTCCTTGGATAAGACACTTAACCCCAGTTGCTCCCATTGCTTTGTCAGCGGCGTATGAATGCCTATGAATGGGATTAGTTACTTCTGATGGACACTTTACATAGCAAACCACCAGTGTGTGAAAGACTAGGTGTGACGTGTTGTAAAAGAGCTTTGAGTAGTCAGAAGAAAAGCTATACAAGCTTATGACCATTTCACTTATGAAGTTACTTTTCTGCCTGACATTCAACTTTAAGACTATGAACTATGCTTTCCACACATTTTCCAGTTTGGGATCAATAAAGTAATTCTATTCTATACATGGCCATACCGTGTTATAAATGAGTTTAACTATGTCACCCTTTATTATTTTGTTTGTGTAGGGGGATGTAGTTCTATGGGAATATTTATGGAAAATGTAATTGTGGTGTGGAGTCATTATGATCAACAGAAATATGCAATTTATTTCTTTCCTTTAGAAAATGTTCATATTTCAGTGACATGGTGTACACAAAGCACATTTCTTTTGTGACAATTGTGTGACAGGCTAATTCATGTGATGGGCTTCAATGACAAAATCTAAATAGAAAGAGTAATACACTTGTAGGGCACTGATTACATAGTTAAACACTTGATACTATCAAAAAACGGGAGCAGTAATGCTTTCTTGGACTTACACAGTCGTCAGTGATACTTTTAGTATTTTGAAAGCTGTAGATCCCTGTGTAATTATTTGTTTTACACATTTGATTGTTGATAAATGACTGTTTCCTTGGAGCTGTTGAGATGTGAAAAAATGAAGGAAACAACTTCTTTTAAAAAAAACGACCTTTATTGAAGACATTGTTGAATGTCAACAGCTGCATTTGATATTAGAGTGGTATTCAAAGAATAAAAAGACATTGGGACATCACATAAAAAAATATTTTTCAAAGTAAAGAAAAATACACTACCAACTCAGAAATCTCATTTTTGAGTTGTAACACCTAAAGACTACATACTTTAATACCGATTTGAAGTCCTCCTAAATTGGTACATAGTATGGCAGGGATAAAGAGCTACCACTAGAAAATCCCAAACTTAAGTTATGTAGTGTTAACTTTACAAAGAAGGAGAATAACACTGTACATCTTAAAAACATTAAATATACACATTGTCCAATTTGTTTTCTGTTTCAAGATGGTGAATTGAGTACATTAGGGTTATATGGCATAAACAAAATTTCAGGTTCCAACCCTGTGCAATCTACTCATCATCGTCATCATCATCATCTTCATCATCGTCTCCCTCCTCCTCATCATCCTCGTCATCATCGTCATCTGCTGCAGCAGCCGGTGCGGAATCCACTTTGCCCTTTGTGCGGTAGGCAACAACATCCTAGTGTGGATTGAAAAAAGGTTAATTTACATTCATCAAAGCTAAATAGATCATTTTCTGACTCCTGAACTACAGACGACGAGATATTTCAAGTCTAGCTTACTACATTTACCTTGTCGTATTTCTCCTTCAACTTGGATGCCTTCTTCTCATAAGGCTGCTTTTCCTCCGGAGTAGACTCATTCCACATCTGTCCCAGCTTCTTTGCTGTGTCCCCGATGGAAAGTCCAGGAGTCTCAGCCTTTACCTTGGCGCGAAAGTCGGCACAGAAAAGGAAGAATGCAGACCTGTAGAAAAGAAAAAATAACAATATGTTTCAGAACTGATAATGCACTTTGCCTTTAATGTAAAAGAAAATCTATATGTTTATAAGGACACATACGGTGGTCTCTTGGGGGCATTGGGGTCCTTGAATCGCTTCCTCTTGGTGCCCATGGGGGGAATGTAAGTCTTCATTTCCCTGTCATATCGAACCTTGTCTAGCTTGGCCTTGTCTTCAAACTTGCCTTTCTCTTTGGAAGACATTGTCTTTTGGGAAAAGAAAACAAGTTCAAACCACCTAAATAACAAACACCACTTAAAATAAAATTTAAATTTTGTATTTTTTTGTACAATAAATTTGAATGTTTTACCTTCCACCGCTCGGAGCATTTCTTGGAGAACTCTGAAAAGTTGACAGAGGCTTCGGGATGTTTTTTCTTATGCTCCTCTCTGCATGTTTGCACAAAGTAGGCATACGAGGACATTTTGCCTTTCGGCTTAGTTGGATCCTTAACCATCTTGAATTTCTAAAAAAAAAAAAAAAAAAAAGGGGAAAGAAAATAGAAAAACAAATCTTTAAAAAAAAATAAAAAAAACATACACAATGTATAAAGAATCAGTAAATGTCTGCTTCTTGATTTGTAAGATCCATCTATTGTTTAAATCGGGTGGTGGTGAGGGGGAGGAGGAGGAGGAGGGGGGGGGAAGGGGTCTGGGATGAGTGATAATCCATTGTATGAAAATGCACACATGCAACTTTGAATAAATGTTATTTTGCTTTCTTACTTGCATGTTCTTGTTGGATAGTGCAAATCTTGTGAAAAAAAAAAAAATTATATATATATTATTTTTTAATTATGCTTAATTTAGCCTCCCATCCAATGATACAAAAAAAACATGTCGCAATATGAACACATCAGCTTCACAACGCCTTTTGATATCCTCTCTAGCTTGTTAGCTCGGGGGATGCTTTGTGTACTCTCGCTTTTTCTAGCTTCATGCTAAGCTAACCAGCGAGGTGGCGTCCACCGGAGCTCATTTCATGGGACGATTATTAAAATGGCTGATTTGATTGCTAACAAAGGCTAGCAGGCGGTTTTCAAAAAAAAAAAAAAAAAAAAAGAAAACCCACGCGTTCATGCGGCCTAATTCACGACCAGTTCAACTAGCTTTGTTTATAAACGTAATTTAAAAATGATTTTTTAACACAGCGATGAACACGTTGATAATGTTTTCCCAGCTTGCATGAACTACACAGTGTTTTCCTCAGCTGCAGATCGTCGTATTAACCTACGTTCACCCTCTAGCTGCTAACACAGGAGGGGCTACCGAGTTAGCTCGTCGCTGCTAGCCCGCTAACGCAAATCAGTGCTAAGTGGTGGGGTTTTTTTTCATCGGCTGGGTCTCTTGTGTTTTAACCTTTATTGCATTTCAGTTTTAATCCCCAAATCAAGTCTGCAAACGCCTGCTTTAAATAACTACGCAGCTAGGCGTGCATCCTTTACAGCCCAGTCATGCAACCAAACATATGTAATAACCCGTATGTACACTGTGCAAACCCATCACGCAGGCACTTTTACTTATAATCATAACGGAATAAGCAGGTGTGTCTTTTTCTTATTTTGTTAAGAGAAAAAAAAAAAAAAAAAAGCATAAAACATTGCGCTTACCCCTACAGAGCTACAGAAGGCCAGTGGTACGTCTGTTCGTCTCAAACAATGGGACGGAAAGCAAAGCAGCGTCAGTCAGTGCGCGGTCTTTTGGCTGCGAGGGTCCCTCCGTGTGTTTACCCCTACCCTGTTTACGTGCTTGGACCACGGCTGCTCGGACATTGGCTGCCTGCTACTCGTCGAGGCATCTGATTGGACACTCGCCGCGGAGCGATGGCGCTAAACTTGAATAACAAAAACAGTAAACGCCCTACTTTCAGTGCAGTGAAGAGGTCTGTGTAGGTTCTGCAATCATCCGCTTCTCATTGTAAACAGAAGCTATTATCCGACTGCATTATGAGTAGGCCAAGTGCTATCCTGATTATAAAGAGATTAATGTAGGTTTACCATCCATTTTATAAATGTAAGATTAGATAAAATAAAATAATCCTTTATTTGTCCCACAACGGGGAAGTTAAAAGTGAACACAGTACAATTTAAATATAAAAATAAAAATTAAGAATGTACAAAAAAATAGATGCTGAAAAATAGATTTAAAAAAAAAAATAGCTCAGCTATTTGATAAAAATGTAGATAATAAGATTTAAGATAATTTCATTGGCAAATGTTAATGTTGAATATTATATCTTAAATGTTAAATATTATATATCTGTTTAATGTTATATATAAATGTTAAAAAATACAAGTCTTGATTCTACATATTTAGTTTATATTCTAAATATTTAGCTTTGATCCTATATATTTAGCTAAGATTGAAAATATGTATAATCAAAGCTATATATTTATAATCTAAACTAAATATGTAGCTTTGATTTCAAAATATTTAACTTTACATTTCATGTTTAGCTAAGATTTCTAAATATTGAGCTATTATGGAATATGAGCTGAAGCTGTATCGCTTCGTTTAACTTTTATTTTTGGTGCTTCCGGTGGGCGGTAGCATCAATTTGCATATTAGCTAAATTTAGAGTCTAAGCTATATATTCAGAAATTTAAAAGCTAAATATTGAGTTTAGATTATAAATATTTTAAAAAATATATTTTCAATCTTAGCTAAATATATAGGATCAAAGCTAAATATTTAGAATTTAAACTAAATATTTATAAACGTAGCTAAATATTTAGAATCTAAACTAAATATTTAGAATCAGGACATGTATTTTTAACATTTATATTTAACATTAAGATTTAGATATAATATTTAACGTTTATATTTGCCAATGAAATTATATCAAATTTTTATTCTCAAAAAATAATATGACAAAGTTCACAAATATTTCAATGAATGTGAATAAAAAGTGTCTTAACATTTTTAGGAATGTTTTAGGGCTAAATGTGGAGAAATCTTGTTATTTGTAACGTGCGCAACTTTACAATCGGCACCCCATGTCAAATAGAGTAAAATTACTTTATTGATATTTTCATGCAAAGTATAAACTGTAGCCTATATATGGGCTAGTGATGTTAAAGTGACAGCAATTCATGAGTAGGCCAAGGCTATCCTTAATATAAAGAGATTAATGTGGACTTACCATCCCTATCTGTAAAGTATCAAATTATGTAAAGTTATATCATATTGTAAAGTTGCGCACACTACAAATAACAGCAAGATTTCTCCACATTTAACCCTCAAAAATCCCTAAAAATTGTTGTGACTTTTTAAAAGTCACTTTTTATTCACATTTAGAGGGTTGTTAAAGTGTTAGCAATTCCTTCTCAAAAGATTAAAACCAAAATAAATGCATTTGTATCCCAGCAATGCAAAAAACAGACACTGTGAAAAATAAAGCATCCTTTCAATTGTTGAATTTTTAATGCAGCATGTCCCCTACTGAGCAGCTCACAGTGGACATTCAAATGTTGTATGTCTCCATAACCACAGCGCCCAGCAACCTCCTGTTCAGCTCTCTGTCTCGGTTCAGACAGAACACATAGGCTACCTGGAAGCCATCTTTGTTAAATTCACACTTGCTGAAATTTGGTAGTCAATTCAGCAAGCCATACAAAGCAAACTTTTATCTGGGAGAGGAAATAATAGGTTTTTGTTCCACGGAAAACAATCAAAGATAGCCGGCAAAACACTGGCCAACATGGCAACACAAGGTAATGTTAACAAATATCTTTTCTTTTCTTCGCATTTCATATAGACCTTGTTTTATTTACTCAGTTTGTATCAAGATGCTTTATGCTGTGAAAGATTGTCTTTTTTTCCAGAACTAACAAATCCACAGTATTATTTAATTCACTTTTAAAATGTAATTTCTCCCACAGTTACTGTCATTTTCTATAACAGTAATGTAAGTCTGATTGTAATGCCCCACTCACCTCTTCGTAAATTTGCATCCTAGGACACAAAGGGTTCACTTCTGTTTAGTCTGGTTAACTTTCACTAAGGCAAAACAATGAAAACTACAAAAACATTTTAATATAGTTTTTATTTTATTACATTATTATATAAAACATGCAAATTGTTGCAGAGTTTGGTGAACTGAAATAATCATCTTTAATTGTCTTGGCAAATGTGAAGCAAATTTGTCTTGCAGTAAAGTTTAATATACTATAAGACAACAAGAAAGTATGTATTCTGCATGTATAAATCCAAGTAGGCCTATTTTCTGACCTCAAGTCTTAACACAACATAGGTGGAATATCTGATGTGAATGTCAAAGTAAGACGTGTCTGTTGGTGTGTTTACTGTTTACTTGTTGGGAATTATTTAAAAAGACTTTTCAAGCATAGAGGAAACACAGCTTGTTAACTGTAGCCTTATGTATCAGGTGTAAACTATATCAAAAATTTGTGTTTGTTTTCTTTAGAGAGCAAACAGTGGTGGGATCCATATGAAACATCCAATAAAAGACAATTTGTCTACCGGCCGAACTCAGCAGAGATGTTGCTGTGAGTTCAGTTCGTGTGCCTTTTGTTAAATTTCAGAATAGGAATACAGAATTAGTGTGATTTTTGTGTGTAATTATCTGTATTTGTTGATGCATTTCTGCAGGAGCCCAACGTCCACTTCATTTATAGACTCCTTTTCCCGGTCTGGACCCCTTGGTTCAACTGTTTATAAAAATGATTTTTGCTGGAGGCCAGTCCTCAAACCTGAAAGTATTCGCACAGGAACAGCCTCTGGGCAGAGGAGAAACAACCCACATCCCAGTCAGGTTGGTATTTAGGCTGTATTAGCCTCAATTTTCAGATTCACAGATGAGTGCCATGAAGATGAACTCGCATAACCTCTCATTGGTGTATTACAACCTTTAAATCATTTTGTTTTTCCCAAAGTCTTTTATGATTTGGAGGCTTCCCAGGGAGGCTGCACGGAGCAGAGACTATGTCAGCTTCCCTTGGAAATGTCCTCCATCTCAAGGTGTGATCCGTAAGGCCTTGACAGCCCAGTACTGCTCTACTTACAGATGTGACTTCATGGGAATGCCCCAAGGTAGGGTATATCTATTGGTTAAGGCTTCGGTACAGAAAAGGTGTCTGAACTGCATAACTAATGATACTCAAGCATGCAGGCAGTCACAAATCAACCATCAATGTAATCACATTATTTTCTCTGCAGCTTGTTGTCCTCTGACTGTGGAACTTGTTTGACAGGTTATGATCATGCTTATAATGAAGGAGGAAGACTTGCACCTCTGTACAGTAGGCGTGAAGCGCTGCTCTCTGCTGACACAGAGATGAGGGACAATCACTGCAAGCCTAAACAAAAAACAGGACTGCTTTGCAATCACAGCTTCAACGCAGATCTTAAAGGGCCCTGTCATGGTATCGGTACGGTATAATAATATCATATCTTTGATCCATAAGTGAGACAATTGATCATGAAAATCCAGAGGGACACGTGACCATTTTAATTCAGATTCAGATTCTTCATTCTCCCACAAGGACTTTTTTTTACTTAGTTAGTCAAATTCATATGTCAAGATCAAACAGCATTTTGTTATCCAAAGAAAACAGCTGGCGTTAACATCCAACCACCTTAGCAAACTAATCTGTTTGCGACCTGTTTGAAAAATGTGTTTATGCTCTAAAACTCTTATATAATATGAGTACCACTGAGCACTAAGATAAGACAGACTTAAAATGAGCTAGTTTGGCTCAGTGTTGTACTCTGTCGCAGTAGTCCCTGTTTGGTGCATGTTATCCCCCCCCCCCCAGCATTTACTGTAATTTTTGCTTACAAACAGTATTAATGTTTTTCGAGCATTGTCATATAGAAATCGGTTTTGACCATTGACTATTGATTTTTGTCCACATTGAGTCCTGTTAAGAAAATCCGGCGAATGCTGAAAGTTGCCGCATTCTGCAACACTCGATCATGACGCTAGGCCACATCTGCTCGTTTATATCAAATAACCAAATCATAAACAAAACTACTCAGAAAAATGAACACTTGGACATCAATCGGCATGGTAACTATATCAAAAGAATCTAGGTTTGACAAAAAAAAACATTTGACATGTATTTCTGATTCTTATAGTTTGACCTATGTTAACATAAAGGAGGGAGGGGTTATGACCTATACTGCTACCAGTCAGCAGGGAGAGAGTATTTTGGCTTAACTCCCAGGTGGTTGTTTCTCTGTCCATTTTAATATACAGTCTATGGTTCTAACATTATCTGTTGTGCCACAGCTGTTTGTCGATGATAAGACAACATGTGATGTTTTATCTTCAGACAATTTTTTGTCATCAATTTTCTTTTCAGTTGCTGATCAAGTGAGAAGCAGTGCAATGAAAACAGTTCATCAGATTCCCTACACTTAGATGATTTACATACTTGTGTAACACAGCAGTCAAATATCATTAGATTTATAAGTCCTCTTTGTGATTCTGTGTGTAAATATGGTAGATTCACTAAGCCTAACGATGTTTAATATGTTGTCCTCTGTGCGTTAGTTCCAACGGTTGTGAAGAGGCACGTCGATACTCAACAAAAAAGATATGATTTGACAAACTATGACACGTTCTATGGAAAGAGAATGGCTGATGTCTCTGGTGTGCTAAAGTCTCTGCTGCCACAGGAGCTGCAGCAGTTACAAAATGTTTTACCTGAGGAGGGTTAGTATCAACTTAAGCCTCTGAGTGACGTGAGTTTCAGCATTAGAGTTGCTCACTGTTTTTGAGACAGCTAACCATGTTTTGTGTCTTGTGATTTTGCAGAAAAGAAAACTGTGAAAACAGTTATGAGTAAAGGTGCTCAACCAAACAACAAGGAAGGAGTGAATAAGCTTCCTGCAGTTGTGCCTGATTCCTGCGCACCAGAGCGGATATCAAGCTGGCCAGGACCACAATAAACCTCAATGCCCATGTTAGTATCTTTGGTGTGTGTGTGTGTGTGTGTGTGTGTGTGTGTGTGTGTGTGTGTGTGTGTGTGTGTGTGTGTGTGTGTGTTTCATGGAAGCAGGGAAATTGCATTAATAACATGATACAATGTATTGTGAGTGGCTTGAATGCATTTGTTGTGTCATTTTTTTGAACTGTGTGTTCAAAATTAAACATTTGTACATGGTGAGAAGATATTTGTCTCCCTTTAGCTTCATTGCATAATTTCTTCGTATTATCGGACGTGCAGGCTGTATTTGCTCGATAAAATAGAATGATTTGCGTTGTTTAACTGATATTTTGGTTCTATCTCCATAAAATATCATCAGACGCAATACTTTTAAACTCTTGGAATTTGACATTACTTTTTCCAGGTCTTTCACCGAATTTCTTTTTTTTTGTCGATTCCCTGTTGAGATGCAACTGAAATGTCACAAATAAATCAATTAATGGGATAAATTAATCAAAGATTGTCCACAAACAATCAATCATTATTTAATTGAGCAAGGGCACACTGAAAGCAAGAGATTAAGGAGTTGATGAAGTTCTTTCTCCCTGTGAGTGCTTGCTCTTTTTGTCATTGGCTCATTTGTCACTCTTGGTTTCTTAGTTACCGCAGGGCCACCTGTTCCGCCCAGGTGTAACAGTAGGAGTTAGTGTCAGGTACTCTTGTGCAAGATCTGTCTGATTAACATCTGTTGGGAGGTCTGACTGAGAAAATGTGCTGCAATGAAGTCTGATTTTGCATCATTTTAACCTTTGAAAAACACCAACCAGGATGCTCCTGCAGAAAAAGATTCGCTCTTCTTCAGCTTCAGGAAGATTAGAAACTCAACGTGTGACCAGGTATTCTGCTTTTTTGTTGCTCTTCTAAATTCTCTTATTTCATTCCTGATATCAATCTTAGCTGCAGTTTATTTTTAAATAATGATTGGACCTAGTTGAGGACATGCCTTACTTCTCTTTCTTGTTCAGGAAATGTTTACTGTTGTCATGGAGATGTAGTTGCTATCTGAGGCAGCACTGAGCTGTTTACGTGTAAAACAGGAGGTCTGCTCACCTGGAACTTTATTCCTAGGATTATATTTATGGGTATTGACACTGTTACTTTTCAAATGGCTGCCCTGAGTCAAGTTGAAATAAAACAATGTTTTTATTTACTTTTCTAAGGGGGAGGAAATTTGTGCTTTTACAAATTTTTTTATGTATGTCCTAAAAATGTCTTAAATCCTCTAGTATCCTCTTTGAACTGAAGAGGAAAGAGGAGAGAATGAGGAACACGACAGGGCCAGGTGGTCCGGGTGAAAAAGTCACAGGTGACTTCTCAGCACCAGTGGGTGTCAGCGAGGAAAGACGTAAGCTGCCTGAATGGTTGAGTCGAGAGCTGCTGAAACAGAACAGGAGACGACACTCTGTCACACTGGGAGATAAGGCAGACATCCTGAGACAACAACACCACAGTATTGAATCAACTCGCAGACTCTGCTGCCTCCAGGTATAGTTTACAGAAGCATCGATCTTGGAGTCAAATGAGAAAAGTTAATGGGACCTTATTGAATTTGTCTTTGACAGTTAGATTATTTCAGTGAAAAATCTGGATTCATCTTCGCCCTTTCCAAACATCTTCTCACTTAAAGCTGCTGCTTTCATCCTCAAGGTGTCACTAGAGTGTTACAATGGCCAGCTTTCAGCCTCTTCCCAAAAAGCTTAAACTTCACAGCTGAAGCATATTTCAGCAGCAGCAGCAGAATGAATGTGAGGTAATGTCAAAAACGTCATTTTAAATCAAGTTGATGCTCAATTTACTCAGAGCCTGACAGCACATCGTGCAGAACAATCTGTGCCAGAGCCTGGGACGGCCATGTTTCAGACCAAAGTAACACAAACACGGTAGCTGAGCCAACTTTACTCCAAAGAACTTACTCATATCCAAGCTCTCAAGCTGACAGGAATGATGGAAAGATGTAAGAGTTGCTGTGCAAAGGCTGTGACTGAAGCTTGTGTAGTTGCAGTTGTCAGTCACACTCTCATGCTTTATGTAATGAGCAATGTGCCATCACAGATTAGACAGAACAGGCTCGGGAGTTCAAAGTTATGCAGCTCTAATAAAGGGATTTGGAAAGCAGTCTGGGTTGTGTGAACACTTTCAGCCCTTCCATCACTTTGACTGATTAAACAATTATCTTTGCAATTCAGGAGATTCCGTAGGGAAACCTCGACCCTCGTTATACCCGTAAGGAATTAGAGCTGTTTATCCCTGTTATTTATTAATGACAGATCAAAGAGTGTCACGGATCAAGGACCCCATTGCTAGGAAACCAAATTGAAGGGAGGCCATTAACCCAGAGAGCATGGCTCGTCATTTGGCCTTGTAAAAGCATCTCAGAGGCTCAACATAGCAGGTGGTGGATTTTGTGGCCATTATAGAAAGTCGTTTACTCAGAGGTGGAGCCCTTATCATGTTTATTGATAATTAAACTGTGTCAAAATACGCCCTCCCTAACCTTCATTTGTATTTTTTAGCACTCAGACTTAATGAACTTCCTGGTGAGTGCATTTGAGTTAACTGGAAGAAGCTTTTTTTACCCACTGAGCATAAATTCTTCCTATTGTGTGTCCTTTTTCTTCTATAATTCTCAGTCAACCTGCATGATAGAAGGTAAAGCATGTCATAATATGTCACCTTTTCCTACCTTTTCAATAAGATTGATGATGCAGTATCACTCGACAACCTCCAGAAACTGAAAGTGGCATTTGAGGTATAAACTGCAGCTTTTCCAAACACGACTGACACTTCAGTTTTTCATCTCTGCAAGATTTGACTGTGTTTTTTCTTCCTGTAGGAATATGAAACGCGTGGCTTGAGGTCCATTGATGCGAAGAGTTTTGGACGCATAGTGGCAAAGTGTTTGGCTTTGCCTGAGACAGTAAGACAGTGTGACATTTCTTTTTATATCTCTTACTCTCAGATTCTTTCATCTCTGTGTTCACTGCTTTTCTTTCTTCAATTAAGTCCCAGTCTTTGCAATCCCTGCATTACTTTATAAAAAGTCTCATTGTACTTGGCTCTTTTGTTCCTTTAATTTCACAGAGCAACGCACAAATTCAAGGGCTGTTCAAGAAGATTGATTATTCAGACCGAGGAAGGATTTCATGGGTGAGGTGAAATTGATATTTGTTTCTTATAGAGCATGCAGCCTTTTTATTGAGTGTATGGCCTCAGTTATAAAACATTTCCATGCATGCTAACACCAGAAACCTGCAGTAAAACAGTTAGGCCCCTATGAAATACGACAGGGCTATTCCTACAGCCTTAAGTGGTGGAACAAGTGTAACTGAACCGATGATTTGGGATAAATCAGCTTTTCTGGTGTCAAGTTGTATACTAACAACTGTATACTCAGTATCTTTTGGGCATTATATTCTCAGCTTGATATCCTGTTACTATAGAGGTTGTAATGAGTGTAAAGCAAATGAGTTGTAAAGAAGTGATCAGAAAGTGTTATATTGTCTAGTGTAACACTGGAGCACAATTAGTTATTCAGGAATACATTTCACAATTACATTCATAAGAGGATCATTTCCACTGGAGATAGGAAGGACATTTCCACATCACTTTTTAATTACATCTCCAGAAGGCTTCTGCACATTTGTTGTGTTTAAAGAATGGTATTCCAATCAGTTTTTGTATATATATATATATACATACATTACAGTTGTAAGTATGAGGCCTTGATTAACAAAACAGCTACACCACCATATTTCTATCTATCTTGTAAATTTCACGTTGCAATTGGAAAGAATGATAATAAATCATGCAATTTCTAGATCTATAAAGACATGTTAAAATCGTACTGTGCCACGCAGTGTTGTTATTTTTAAATAGGAGATAACATGATAGGAGTGGCGAAAATAACAAAGAAAGGCAACGCGACCGTGTAGAGACAACGTGTAACAGATACAGTAACCAATGGAGTTACAGTATAATGTTTGTTGGAGAAAAAAAGAGATAAATGCATGTTGGACATGGTAATGTTAGCTGTGTCATTTTGTTGTGGCTCAGTGGAAGATTGGATCATTTTTCGCTCACGTTTGATGCCAGCTAGGGCAGTCAATATGCCACGGTGTCCTTTTGCGAGATACTGAACCTCCTATTGATCCTGAGGGCGTGTGAATAAGACTAGTTAGCACTGATGTGGGCTTCACATTGTATCCTGTGCTTTCAGTGTTTGAAATGTGTGGGAATGGGTGAATGTGACATGTAGTGTACACGAGCCTTGAGTGGTCAGAAGACTAAAAAAGCACTTATATGTACAGGTACAGGTCCATGAGGAACACATTACCAGTCACAACTCTAACAATATGTTGCAGGGGGATTTCTGCACACACTTGCTTCAGGAGCACAAAGAGAAGCAGGAAACCCTCAGACGCAGCAAGCAGGTGGCGTTCTCTCTGCCGGCCACCATGAGGACGTTGTGTCACGGCGTTGACATCGTAAACATCCACTCCGCCCATGATGGCACCATCGCCACAGTGAGAGAAGACGGGATGGTTTGCTTCTGGAGCGCTGACCTCAAACCAGTGAAGACCAAACACATGTTTGTAAGAAACAAAAATTCTGATACAATCCTTTAGATTGAAGAAATATCATGAAAAAAAAGAAAATGTGACTGGTATGAATGACAATGCAATGTTACATACAACACTATGTTAATTTTAATGCCAGATCATGTTCCCACTGGCAACATGATGTGAACAACCACTGAGGTAAACGTAGGGGCACAGGATGTAGGATCAGGTCTTTAGAGGAACCCTGATGAAAAGAGATTACAGAAAACACATTACGCCTTTATAAAATGCATCATGCAAAAAAGTGTACACGTTTAATGTTGGTCTGCCACCTGTAGTGATAAGGAATGTGAATGTGTTTTTAACCTGTTGATTCATACTTTTTGTAATTTACAGAATGACGGCCCTGCAAACAGAAAGTCAAAGTGGGCCAGTGATTTCTGCTTGATGACAGAGTACAACAAGCTGATGATTGCAACGGGGTAATGAGAGAAAAAAGTTTCAGAAGATGACTTCAAGAGCAAATGAGTCTTTGAGCACATTGACTATCTTTGTTTACTGCAGGTGCTAGGCTCCTCAGGCTTTGTTTATCGTGCCTGACTTTGTTATCTCGCAGGGACAGAGAGATCCAACTTCATGACCTTTCCTCTCTGGAGCCTTACTGTCAGATCAACGCACTCGACACAGTCGCTTTAACGTTAGACTACAGGTGAGCTTCAGCGCTGCATCTAATCAAACCTTCAAGAGGTCTCAATAACAGCCACTGATGCTGTTTGTGTTTTTCTTTTCTAGCTACACAGGCTCTGATAAATGTTGTATTGTGTATGGAGACACTGAGGTATTCTTTTTATGAAAAACGTATCTGATTTCTAAACATCGATCTCTCATTATGTTGTGCTTAATTAATGCTGCGGAGGTTAATTAAAGTGTTTATGTTTCAGGGATGTGTGACAATTATTTTAATATCCTCAGTTGAAGATACCCTCAGGTAATTGTTGCTTCTTTGAAGACCTACACATATTTACTCATATGTATAATGTTTAATTAACAATCACACCCACATTTGAACAAGCCATGGTTACCATGGCGATATGTTCAGTACACAGAATATAGACTTTTTCTAGACTATAATTAGATGAGCAAATGACCAGATAATTTATCCAGCAATACTCTGAAAGCTTCTTTAAGTCAGTGATTAGACTTTTTGTTTTTCAGCTGAGTGACAAACGCAAACTCTCTACTGGGAGACGTCCACTATTAGTAGCCAATCAGAACTGTGTACTGTCTTGTTTCTCCCCCAGGTTGTTTTCTTGGCTGATTAATGGGGATTTGTAAGGGGGTAACAGACACGCAACTGTGTCCTGTGAGTGACAGATACATTGCAGAGCGTCTGGGTAATCCTGGGCAAACAAACACTTGTGGATGAGATGAAAGATTTGGCTCTCCTCTGAGTAACAGCATAGGAGATGAATAAAATGTGAAAGTCTATTTTATCTTCAATCCCCTTTCTGACTGGAATGTATTGTCTATATTACATAATTCATTGAAATGCATCAGGTTTTATACATTTACAGTGAATCAGTGCTTAGTCATCTATTGGCTAAAAGGTCATAGCACTCACATTGTGGCAAACACAGTCTTCTGAATAGCTTTTTTTCTTTTTTTTTGTTAAATGCGGCACCTTTTACTCTTTTCAGGATGAAAACACGGGTATTTGAGTGTCTCTCACAGGAGTAATCCTACGCTTGTTTCATTTTGCTTACAAAAATATACTGCAGTGTTTGAACCCATGAATAAAAAGCTCTTTTCGCGAATCCTGTTTTAAAGGCTATTTTTAAAATGTGCTGGAAAATTATACCTTTGCATTCTATAGGTTTCCTGCCAATCAACACCACTACAGGTTCTGCATGTGAGGCTGCGTCTGTGACGACTCTCAGGCCTGGCTGTAAAACTTAACTTCTGTGTTTTTATAGATTGTGGAATAAACAACCAAAAGTTGGAAACATACCCAACATAGCGATTGACAATGCGGTGCTTTCTCCGAATGTGACTTTTGTGAGATGGAAGGTTCATCGGGACTGGGTGACACAGGTGATTTTTACTTTATATAAACTCAAGCTAAGCCCAGTGACAACTTAATAAGAATAATAATATCTGCAGATGTTCTGTAATACAGTAAATATTGTCCAGTTGCATGACATTATGCTGACATTATATGAACAGAATATGCTGCAAAAACTGCTCAATAACGCAGCTGTCTTATTTTAGGCGAAATATTTTCAAAGCTTTCAAGCTGTTGTCTCCTCATCGAATGACGCATCTTCGTCTCTTGTCATAGGTAATTTTTGTTGAGCTTGTTTCTTCGGCTTTCTTTGGTTTTTATGGCATCTTTCTGGAACAATTGGGATAACGGTACAATACTTTTAACAATGTGTGATGTGTATCTAAAACACATACTTAACTGTCCGTCCATCAAAAATGCATCTTCTCTTCGATTTAAGATCCAGAAGAAAAACTGAAGCATGCTTGTTGTGATCGTCAAAGTGTTTTTAATCTACAATGTGCAGTAATTAAAGTCTGTGTTGAACATCACGCATCCTGTTAGGAGAGTTGTGAGGGATGACTGTTAATGACTCATCCATCACAAATACACCAATCAATGCCAGGATGTGTACAGTGTGTGTGTGTGTGTGTGTGTGTGTGCGTGCCTGGTTGATCGCCCATGTCCACTAGCCAGCTCGGTCATTTATTCTGATAATGACTCACCCTCGCTCCAAAAGCATGTTTTGATTGATGTTTGTGGCCTTGTAATAAAATCTCCTTTTTTTTCTCCTGAAGGCTGCGTGCTGCCACTAACAGACGCCGAGCAGCAGCTGATTGAGATCAGAGAGGCCTGCTATGAAGGGAAGATTAAGAAGATCCAACTGAGCTGGACTCCACAGCTGCGGGAATCGTGTGACCAGACCGTTTTCAGCGTCTACAAAGGGGTCAAGACGTTTGACCTCTGCCAGAAGCACAGCCTGCTGGTCACAGGAGGCATGGACAGACTCATACGCATGTGGAACCCTCATTTTGCTGGGTGAGAAACCAGAGCTCATTAGGAATCATTAAAGAAGTTAGCATTAATCAAAAAAAGACACCTCATATGGTTTCTGTTTCCCTTTTAGGAAACCGACCGGTATTTTGAAAGGCCACTCTGCCCCCATCGTCTATCTCTTCATCCTCTCAGAGGACAGTCAAATCTTTTCTGTCTCCACAGACAACACTGTGAAGGTGATGCATGTTAGCTTTTAATGTCACTTTAGATTTTTCTTTTCTAAATGATCAAAATCAATATAGCATTCAGGTAACAGAAGGCACATTAGTTAGAAGAAGAGGCAGATGTACTTTTTTTTAATCCCAGAGGGGAAATTTCACTTTTTCACTTTCTTGTTGAGACATGCTACACACTCAGGGTGAAATACACACATGCACAAACTGGATCCTACAGAGATGCATTAAAGGAGAGATGTCAGAGGAAGGGGACTGCACACAAAGTCCTGTCAATGAAGTCGGGGCTTGGCAGTGCTCACGAAGTAAACTGGCACACCTCCAGCTACCAGTCCAATTTCCAGATTACGTCCGCAACGGGACTTGAATAAGTGTCCCTCTGATTCCCAACCCAAATCCCTACAGACTGAGCCACCTGCCCTATAAAGTGGTATATTTCACTGAATTAGCAAAATATAAACAACACAATTATGACTGTTCATTAAACCTCTACAAATATTTCACTCTTGAACTTGATAAAAGTTAAATGTACTCAAGTATTGCACTTAAAAACTTCTATTCTGCCAGTTTTATTTTAATTTGAGTTACTGTTTTATTTTTCCCAAAAGGGAATGATTACAATCTACTCCTCCATATAGAAACTATACCTTGCGGATTAAAAATGATGATTAAAAATGTACAAACATGTCATAAACATGATGCATGAGTCTAGTTTGAACTACAAAGCAACATGAAGCACATCCAGCGTTGCACTGCTGCATATACAGCAACAACAAAAGAAATGTGAAACTTTGGATTTTTTTACATTCACTTGTAATTTATTTGGTATGGCATTGCTTTTACTTTACTGAATAATGCAAAGACTTCCTCCTTTATCTGTTCCTCAGATCTGGGATATTCAGGATCAGTGTTGCCTGTTTACAGCAGACCCAAAAACAAGCGGGATTCATGGAGACATATCGGCGTGCTCGTATTCCTCTGCTCTGAAATCCCTTTACATTGCTGCAGACTGCATGGCTGTGCTCTCCCTGAAGAGAAGGTTGGCTGTCAGCCCTTGTGCTTAATTCATCATAGATTCAATGTACTCTGGAGGCAATCTGAAAATATTCCCCTCACTGAACTCATTTAAGAACGACTGTTTGGGGGAGGTTCTAAAACAAAAGGACATCTGATGATTTTGAAGATTTTCTTTTAAAGGCTTAAAAAGTCCCACTTTCACTCAAGAGATACATAATTTAAGATTTCTTTTCAGTCCATTAATTTATAATAATCTCCCCGTTATTCATTTTGTTATCTTTTCGCTCTGTAAGGCCACAGCTTCACAGACGGCTGACTGTTTCACATAATGAGCCTGTAACGTGCTGCGGCTACAGCGAGGAGTTTCGTCAAGTTGTGAGCTGCACGGAGGGCTCTGTGAGTAAACTGATATCTAACAAAAAAGGATTAAACAGATGACCATCTTAAAATTTCACTCTTATTAAAACAGGTCCTTTTCTCTCTATTTTAAAATGCAGCTGAAGTAACACTAGTAGTAGTCATGGTTGTCATGGTGATAACAATAATCTCCAAACATCACTGGTTTCAGGTGGTGAAGGTCTGGGATTTCGACACAGGGAGGCAGGCTTTTGAGTTTGGCGGCGCACATGACCTGTCTGCCGTCACATGTATGACCTTTGACCCCAAAGGGAGGAGGTACATTGAATGAAGGAGCTTGCGAAAAGTTTCAGTTTTCATGAAATCAATTCGACCTCTATGTAATCACAGGGCGTTCTTGTGTTTGCAGACTTGTCACAGGCGAAAGAGATGGTTGTTTGAAGATCTGGAACTTCAACAACGGGCAGTGCCTGAAGACACTGAAAAAGGGTTTATCATCTACATTTGATTTAATACCTTACATGAAGCATTTGAGATAATTTACCAACAATTCATTGTAAATACTTAACTCAAATCTTTCCTGTAGATGGTGTTTGTAATGAGGTGTGTGACTGCATCTTCCTGCAAGTTCGCAAGAATTCGTGAGTAAAGGTTTGATATTTGGCAAGCTCTCTTTGCTCAGTGTGAGTTCTAGTCCATGTTGAGTTTGTGCTCTTGATATTTGCAGCTATGTGATGTCTGTCGGCCGGGACTGGAAGATTGACATTTATTCAGTGAGTACAAAAGAAAAGGTATTATTTGTCAGCTGTGCTTCATGACATCCCTTTCCAATTATTTCTCCAGTTCCTCCTTCGCTCCATCATATTGCATCCCATTTCCATCTGTTTACATTGTAATAATAACCTGAAATCCAATATGAAACGGCAATAATAAAAACTCCTGATAGTTCTTTTCACATATAGCCTGTTTGGATTTCATTATAAAACCAGACAATTGAGAAACCAAACTCCATTTGTATACTGCATGGTCCATGACACTTTCTTTGATTGCTTAGTTAATGTGATTTTTAATGTCAACAGTCTTCCAGCTGCTATTTTTATAATCCAAACATACCATTGAGGTGTTAAATGGCTCTGTTTGCTGACTGTGGATCTGTATTTCATCAGGATGTACCTGAGGATTTTCATCATGTCCAGAGGCCACACCCTTCCTGGCAGGATGATCTGGTGATTCACAGAAAACGATCTTGACAATACCTTTGAGGAAAGATGTTTATGAAGATCTAATTTCATATGCCTTCAATATGTTCTTACTGTGCGTTCGCATCCCTCTGTGACATTCAGTCAGGCATGCTAGATGACAGAGGCAGATACTTTGATACCCTAGACCTAACCCAGTCTTTCTTCTTCCATTAGGAAAAAGCTCAGGTCTCTGTTTGATGAAAGGTTCTTCATGTTGTGAATAAAAAACAACATTGAAACACATTCTACAATGTGTTGCAGCTCTCATAACAATTACTTCTAAATGTACTATAATCATGGCAAGACAAGGGTTTTAGTTGCTTCTGCGTATTTGAATCTATAAAAAATATACAAAGAAGAGTTTAAGTTTCAAGTTCTGGGAAGTTCAGAAGCATATTAACAATTTTGAGGTATTTCCAATCTATTAATACTTCTACGTTTCAGCACTCCTGAGACAATGTTTTGCTTTCTACTCCATTTTTAGAGCCATGGTTACGAGCTATTTGCAGAAAGGGTTCGAGATTTATTGCAGTCTAAGTATCCATTAGAGCATTGAATAGTAAAATGATCCCCACTTTGTGCATTATATAGAAGGGTTTCTTGCCCAGTTCTGTCCTTGCCTCGCCACACACACTAGTGCATCTAAAGGACTGTGAAGATAAAGCTTCCCTGCTGGTTCTGTTTTTATATAAGTCAGACACACAGAGGAAACTTAATTCTTTGGTCCCAAGAACCATTTTTTTGCTGACTGGCTAAAACCTTAGAGGGAGGGAGAGATGGGTAACAAAGCCTCCCTGATCTCTGCCCTACTGTGCAGCATCGCCTGCAGACACATTTTAAACTCGAGCAGCGAGTTTCATAGTCCTCCACCTTCTGCTTTTTCCTTCACCTTTCCTTGTTAAATAGTGTATGCTTTCCGAATTTCTGTTCCTCATCTTCATTCATTTTACATTATTTTTGTAAATGTCCTTCTGTTCCCATATTGTCCTGTACATATTTCATATATCACACAGCTTCTCTTTGTGTCTGAGGCTCTGTGCAGCCCAGCTTTGACCTGTCAGTACCTGTAGTGTGTGACAGGCTCTGCATCATGCTGTCAGTGAACTGAAAGGATGATTTTTATCACTGACTCACTTCAGATCACAAGGTGTGCACCAAGTGCCCTATGTGCACTCTCGTCACAAAGTCTCAAAGGGTAGTGTCAGTTTTAAATCCCCTGTGTTTTTTTTCCTTTTTGTTTGTAGAAGAAAAATGTTTCAGGATTACTTTGTGAAGAGAAGTCATGTTGCATATTTATTTTTCCAATTTTAAAGTTACAGAGATATTTCGTGAATAATCCCCTTGAGAAAGGCGGATGATTCAATCCCCTAAAATCTCACAATGTTGTAACGCAAAGCACGTCAGACAACTGCCAACACTGCTGATGTGGGACTTCTTTTCCTCATCATTGATTATTGAGTCAGGGTGAAAATACTTATTTAATTAGAACAACCCATCCTTCGGACAACTTTTTTTCCCCAAAGGTAAAAATCATGCAAATTTTGTACAATTTAATAATAATTACAATTGGAGCAAATGGAAGGGTAATCCCAGAGGCCACCCTGATGCAAACTTTCTCTATTCCTCTATGAAATTTAAATTGTCATTGCTAGTAAGGAAGTCAGATATGCTATTTTTCTGTAATCCTGTAGACACAAACAACATGGCAACCCTACTGAGGCACAGCCGTGCTAATGCTAAAATGCTAAGAGGCTTGCTAACACACTGATGCTTAAAATTAGGTATATTCTCTTTCCTACTTTAACATATTAGCAATTTAACAATGGTTAATTAGCTATTAGCACACGATCAAGCAGATGACACATCTGTGGTTCATGACCACCAAAGCATTTAACAAGTAATAAAAGGATAACCAAAGTCATTAGCACTTATCTGTAGCTACACCTCTGATAACTGTGCTAAGCATGCTAATCCAACAGGTGTTGACATTTTCCACTGATATCTAACTTTGTTTTCCAAACACATTTTGAATCTGGTTCAGGATTAAAATGCATAGAATACTAAAACTCTGAAATCATAATAATAAAAATAAAAAAATCTCTAACTGCACTCAAAGCTTTACAAAGAGTTCACTTCAATAACACTCACTATTACAGTTACTTAATCTAATTTGGTGTTATGATGTGGTCAGGTTACCTCTGACAGCGGGGTACAGCTCTCTCTGTTGGTGGATAATTGATTCACACTGCATGATCCATGAAGGTGACGCAGACTTCCCCTCCATCTTTTTCATTATGGCTGCTGGTTACACTCACCCTCAAAGAGGTCCATTAGCAGAGCAGAAAGATTGCATTTACAGAGGCCGGTAAGAAAAGTGACCCCTTTGATTATCTACAGAGCCCTCTCTTGAAATAGTTCTTCATTAATGGCCTGTAGGAGGAAGATCAATGGCTTGCTCTATATAGGTCACTCTCCTTCCCTTGTCCACAAAGCCTCGGGTTCACAGTGGATTTTCCTGTCCCTCCAGATGGCCAGTGTTGTGATGCATCTCATTAAATATAAAAACACTGGCCAAGCTCATCTAAATATTTCACTTTGGTTTGGATGACATTTATGAGTTCGTTTACTTTGTCAGTGCCGAAGTCGTAACTGCCATCTGCTTTTCCTGAAATCTGTTTCTTGTTGGCATCGTTGCACCGAGCAGAATATTCCTTTTTCAGTTCAATACGTCCGTGCACTCAGGGTTTGACATCAAGTCAGTTCTTGATCCAAAAATGTGTGACACACTTGGCCATAGCTACCGTGAGCAAAACCGAAAACTCAGTGACAACTCTTTGACATTTCTATGGGACTTGAAGAGAGTCAAAAACATATTTTATTCATTTCTTTGCCCTTAAAGTAGATTTTTCCTGAAGTTTTTTGGCTGACAGACTGGTGAACTTTACGACATTTACTTGTTCTGTGAGGCATGCAAAGTGTATAATCATGTCTAAACTGACATTTTGGCTTTTGTGCTTGGTTGCTTTCTTGGCAAGAGTTGAATAAGAAGATTGATGCCACCATCATGTCTTTAAAATGTCAGTAAGTTACCGGACTGTCAGTTTAGCTTAGCTGAGTATAAAATGTAGAAAAAAGCTTCCCTGTGTCCAAAGGTAAAATGTATTTTGCAAACATGAAGCTTGTAATGGAGAGAGCTTTAGCGGTTTTTAAGTGACAGACAAACTTTCCTAGCAGGCTACAAGCTAGCCAGTACAGAGCTAAGCTAACCAGCTGCTAGCTGTAGATTCATGAAAGGGTAGAATCGATCTTCTCATGTAACTCTTGACACAAACAGCTTTTCCACCAAAATGAGAGAGAAGATCATGAGGAAGGAGGGACTTTTCCTTAAATTGTAAAGTGGACTGACATTGATTTAATTTTATTCCGCAGTTCTTCAATAACACTCACATCTTTTCTTTCCTCAGAAAAACGGCCATAAGGACGACATCCTGTGCGTGACACAGTGCCCGCCGTCTCTCCTCGCCACCAGCAGCTATGATGGAGAGATTATCGTGTGGAACGTCGTCTCTGGACGTATACAGTGTCGTTTTGTCAGCCCGCTTCTGACTGATCCGAAAACATCTGGAGGTGATTTGGGCACATCACTATAGTACTTCTATTAAATACTCTGATAGCATTTATTTGTTTGTCTGTTTTTTCTTTCTTTTTTTTGTCAAACAGGTTTGGATACAAGCGTTCCAAGTATCATTTTCCTAAAGCAGTTTTCCTCGACTACAGCGCTCCTGTCATCTGGGGCCTTAGGTCAGTGTTATAAACCGCAATTTAATCACATGATTGCACTTTATGATATTCCATAACACTTGTTAACACACTTTTACTATGTATCCTGTCTTTTTAAAGGTGATATAAATCTCTGGAACGTGCTCAGTGGAGGAAAATGTCTAGGCACCTTCAAAGCTGTAAGATAATTAATTCAACCTCATTTCTTGGTTTCACTTTCTGTTATCGAGAGAAATAGGACTCTTCTTTCAAGAGTCACCTGCAAAACTGCTGATTAAACAGAAAGGTAATTTATGGTTCTTTGCTTAGCTCTTGTTTTTAAACAACTTGCAGTTCTGTAATGCAAAGCAGCGACCCTTTATATCCAAAAAGGGGGGAACTAAAGGGGATGAAATGAAACGTGCATAAAAGTCTCTCATATCAAGAAGAAATAGTCTTTTTTTTGTTCTAAAATATGAAGATACTCAAGTTTTACAAACGCTTTTACTTTATGTGTTGTATTTTGTACCAGTTGTTTTTTGGGGCCTTTTACCCGGGGAATGTTTTTAGACTGTCTTCAAGAAAACATTTAGTCCCCACAGGGTAGAATAACTGTCTGGTGCTAATGATGATTGTGTTGATTGTGTCTTTTTTATGCTTTTAATTTGAATAGAAGAAAGCCAAATAATTGATAGTTTTCTTAATGTCGGTGCTATAATTACAAGAATTTTAATGTCTTGTGTTTTTACAGTCTAGATTCCAACAAAAGATTACTAGAATGGCAAAAACAGAAAAGGAAATGTTGCTGTACGCTGCCGACCAAATTGGTTACATCTATGTTTACAACATGGAGAAGTTTGACCCAGAACAGAATACTGTCAGAGGTAAGCAGCATTTCTTTCATGTTTTTGACTTTGATTCGACGTACAAGGAGAATAAAATGTGGTTCTACCTTTGAAAAAGCACATATGTGAGATTGTTTCTGTTGTAAATTTCTCCATTGTGATATGAACAAAGGATTATCTTATCTTAGCTATGTTTTTTTTTCAGCTGAAAACTTCTGGAGAGCTCACACCAGCAGAATCACTGGGTATGAACAATATAAACACAGTCCTGAGGCAGTTTGGAAAATACTTATGCAACTTATTTATAGATCTGTGAGCATTGTAAGTTTCACTTTTTTCTAACTGTTATAGTCAGTCAGATCCCATTATGTATGCGTGTGT